GAATGACAGTCCCACACTTCATTGATATGCTAGTCACATAAACACATAACTGGACAAAGATGCAGAGATCAGGAAAGTACTGATGATGAAACTCACTTTTTGGGGGCCTTCTGCATTAGTTTTCTCACTCCGGCCACCTCTATCTTGTGCCACAGGTTTTGAAGTATACTGCTGCGTGGGCCATCTCCATACTTCATGCTGTTCTTCTGAAAGATTTCAAAAAGAGATTTATTAACACCCCAGAGTGATCATTACCAGGTGGCCTTGTCAGGCACCACTTCTTCTTCAGTGAGTTTTCTGGGATTCCTGAGGGACGATGGGTGTCCTCTAGGTAGTGTCCTAGTGCATAGAGGGTGCCGGGAATAAAGGGGGGGTGCTCTTAATGACCATCTGCTCAGAGAGCAACCTTTTTAATGAAGACGGATGTTGAGGGGATCTGACCAGGGGGGCTCCAGGCAGGGGTCTAATGACACCCCCTCATATGTCTGGACCTTCTCTGTTGTCTTACATGCCCTGTCAGCCCTCACTAACACCACACTGGCACCAAGAAACTCAAACAGGCTTCCTGAAACTGTACCACAGCTATTAAAGTACTCACTCACACCCACAAGCATGTGCTGTAGCACATAATCATGATAACTGCAGTTGTGGAAGAAGTATATGAGTCTAGTAAACTAAGACCACACACTATTTGAAAAAACAATAAAAGTCTGCTATAGCACGAGGTGCATTCCAAAGCAAAACGCTTACAATAGAAAAGTTAATCCATATTTGTATCCTTAAGCACAAATAAGAGCCGTGTCATGCATCCTGAAAACCTTTCCTTTTGGTCTTAAAAGTAGTAGCTGCAGATTAAAAATCTTTTGTAACATCTTTAATTTCACATTTTGAGATCATCACTAGGGTCATTTCTTACGTGGCTTATTAAAAGGATTCTAGGTGTTTTGCAAACATGTTTTGAATGGATATAAAAGCTCAAATCTGCAATAATTAAATGAAGGGTCATTTGTATTGCCTTTGACATCGCTTTGTCATTGAGACACTGTGTGGTATGCTTGAGTTACCCAGATTGAATTTAATTTCAGTTACTTAAATAAAATCCCCATTCAAACTTGATCCGCATCTTTTGTTGTCCGAGCTTCTTTTCACTCTTTGTGTTTATATTGAAGTCTTGGGATATGTTTCTGTTGATTTGGCAGACTCAGAGTCTTACGATTATGCTCCAGCACTCAGGCCTCATCCTCCTAGATGCTATTGCAGAGCTGCAGTGTTAATAACATCCAAAAAGGAAAAATAGGGGAGCTTACATCACCCACACCCTCAGGCTTCACCTCAAATGTACGCTCAAATTAAAAACCAGCCTGTGGCCTAACTGCAGTTCTAAACAGGGGGGCTGTTGTGTCAGCAATCTTTTATTAGAGTCATCCTGTTCCAAAAACACAGCAGGGAGGGACGTCTTCCAGAGAAGACATGATCGCCTTTCCTTTTTTTTCATCACACATCACTCCTTTGTAAAGGTTATTAAAGAAGTCGACTAAGATTGATGGATGGAGATGGAAGACGCTCAGAAGCCCATCTCTCTCACACTCATCTTTATCTTGGGTGTTGCTACTGACAGTGGAGGAGCAGAGGAGGAGATGGATGGATGCGCCCGCTCTTCCTACTGTACTAGTGCTGCACACTTAAAGTCTCTTTAGTTTAGATGTCTTACCAAACATTAATTTAACACTTTTGGCTAAATAACAACATGAGTGGTTTTAATGATGATGGGATTTTTTTGAAGCAATCAAGGATACCTGCATGTATTTGCATATTAATATGCGGTGAGTACGCAGAGCGGGCTAAAAGGAGCAGTTATAATGAGAGATGATACCAATAAATTGATATCTCCTACACTCACCACAGTCCTCTCTGCAGCTGCAGTTAAAAGGATTGACTCAGCCTTTACTAACCTTGTGTTTGACTTGAACTGTCATTAGCAAATCAAAAGCATATTAATTAATCACAGGTCCAGTGGGGTGTGCATTACCTTAAGTGACTATTGTAATATAACTTAAAGAGAAATCGCCCATGATTTCTCATCTTGACAACAGAATGAATGCTTTGCTTTTTCCAGGAGTGCTGATGCTGTCATCAAGAGGGGGAAAATGGATTCTTTAAGTGGCGGAGAGTCTATTAGAGCATTAATTCAGCTACAAATGGAGCTCTTCTCAAATGGTCAAACACTTATATCTCATCTTGTCTTCTTCAAGTGTTTTTTTTCACTCTACTTCACGTATTGCTCTCTCTTCCCGACCTTTTTTCCTCAAACCCTCCTATTTAAACATACTCCAGCTGTATTTAGAATGACTGATATGACTGAAAATGGTTGTAAACTGTCAAATGTTTTCGGTGTTAGCACATACAAGAAAGCACTGCTCCAAGTGTCATTGTTTGTTGTTGAGATTAAGAGGAAGTGGCTACATTTGTGTTGTTATTCTGCCTCGAGCTTGGACACTTAACCATCCGGTTACACTCTGACATTTGAAAAATAAACCATGACTCGCGTATTTTAGGGAAGAAAAGGCCAAATCACAGATGATCATTGCTTGAAGCAACCGACATCTATGGAAAATGTATTTCCTATTATCATGTAAACAAGGCGTGACCTCAACAGGCATTACACCATGTCATTTATTTCATCTTCACATGCCCTTTTTTCTTAATCGCTTAACTGCATCTGAACATTTGAGATGCTATTAAGCAGATAGCAGCCATCCCATTGGTGAACTAATAGTATCCCCTGCTGGCAAAAGAAGGAACACTTCCAAAAAAAAAGATCATGGTAATAGAAACATCTTCTATTCTGCAGCACATAACTGTTTATAGATACTCAGATGCTTTTCTCAAAGATGACAGATAATATTATAAGAGTTAAAGATATAATTGTATATTAGAACATGTATGAAAATAGCCCCACTGTTTTGCTTTCACTGGGAGGGAGGTAACTTAACATTACTCCACTAGAGGTCACCACTACTTTATATTCAGAATTATAATTTATTTTTATCTGGCATTTCCATTGATGCAACTAATGCCAAAAGAAATGCATATAAAATGATTTTCCTCCCACTAGAACAAATGCTTTAAAGTAAGTATCTCTTAAAAATAACAAAAAGATCTAGAACATTCAAATTGACCAAACGGTAATACCTCCTATATGCCATATGCAGCTATTCACCATCCTGATCTATATCATTTTCAGCAGTCATTATAGATGATTGCACACAGAAAACACAGTGGTCAGTATAGCCTTTTAATATTATGTATTTTCATTTAATTCATCACTTGTATAGATTGTGGAGCAGAGCCCCTCTTAGATGAATTTCCCTAAAGTACAGCTACCGTTCCTCGTCCTATAATAAACATGCTGGTTTCCATAGCAACCTGGAGCAGGATCTACAGAGCAAACACTCCAGCAGCCAGGAGAAAAGTGCCCTAACAATGAGGTCTGTGCTGAGGTGTAGGGTTAGGGGGGAGGGAGGAGGAGGAGGATAGTATTGGTAGGGGGGCAGAGCAGGTAGCAGATTCATGCGTCACATGGTTCAAAATGTGAATTAGTGGGAATAATCAATGGCATGAAGAATGCAAGGAATTTGTCCAAATATTTTTCAAACATACAGTGATTCTAAAACAAAGAATAGCAATTAAAGAATTTTGAATTAAGCCAATTTTGTGAGCATAAATAAAATAATTGCATTTAAAAATAATTCTAATTATTCTTAAGTTTCATATATAAAAAGGCCACCTTACATTTAGACTACTCGTGTAAAATAGGAGGGACATTCTCAATCATTCCCCTTTAGTCTTGAGTTTAAGGATATCTGTATCATTGCAGCCTTGGCAACGTGGGTTGAATCTGTCATTCTAAACCCAAAACTCTTTTAATTTACCACCCAAAATGTCCTGTTTTCTTAATGATACAAAAGATAGGCTGAATTCATGTTAAAATTAGGACTTACAACTAGAGCTGGATTTGTTGGTTAATTCTTGCAAACAATTTAAATTATTTATTTTTTAAATAATATCCCTATATGAATATAGAACTGAGGAGGAAATATATATTTATTTTAGAGGTGCCATCATGGATAACATGTTTGCAAATCCGCGCGCTCGGTAATAACAAATATATTACCGCAAACGTCCACTCAGTTTGAAATGACGTAGTTCTCACAAAGTAGAGTCAAGGGCAGAGGGGTAACCGGTGGAAGTAAAAAAAAAAGTTCAGAGGAGAGAGGTGGGACGCCGCGGTTCAAAGTGAGCGATTACTTCTCTGCTCAGTGCACAGACATCACAAACTCTGAGAGAAACACGACAGCTGATCTCCGGTGTCTCCAATATTACACACACAGCTCTGCGGACTGAAGGAGACACTCAACCTGTCCAGTCACTCCGGGAAAAATGTTTACGACAACATCAACAGGTGAGTGAACGCCCCACCGGCACTAGAGGTATGATAACAAAAAAACTTAACACATTTCATATTTTTCACTGTTATAAACACGTCTTGTTTTATATAAATGCTGTGAAAGTGAAAGTTACTTCAAAAGTGTTTTTATATTTCAGGATGACAATAGAACACGTTACTCAGTCACCATGCTGGTAAAGAATAATTTCTTATGGCAGCAACACTAATGTTGGATATATATTATTTTTGTTTGTATGTTTCCAGCACAATTTAAAAAATACATGGTGCTGTTTGGTGAAGTTGTTAAGGTTGAGTGGTTTTTCTACAGGTTTCAGGTTCAAAGTACAACGACTGGATTTTTTTTGGTTTAATATTACATGGGCTCTTTTAATTTTATATTTAAATGTTCCTCTATTTTGGGATATCTGATAGGTATCTTTTTATTTTGTATCATGTCATAGGTATGAGCATTGCATAATCATTTCACCTGCAAGGACAAGCTGCGGCTACTTGAATCAACTTCCTTTTGAGTTTTTGAAACTTTGCTTCAGCCATGAGTGGAAAGGGCTGTCAGCTCCTGGTGTCTCCTTGCAGTGTGTCCCCATCACTGAGCATGATCAGAGGACACCAGTCCAAATCCATCAGGATACCCATGTCTTCCCCTCAGTGGGACAATCTGAGTCCCTCTTGGAGCATCGACAGAGTGAAAAGAGGTGACTTTCACTCCTTTGCTCCTGGAAAACAGAGTGAAAGTCATGTTGTTCTGCCATCGCTGAGCCTCCGCAGACAGGTGTTGACCAACGGGAAACATCTAAACACTGCATCCCCACACCAGCAAGTGCCTACTCATCATCTTTCAACCAAAACAGGGACAATGCAGACAGGACGCTGCTCCTCTAACAACAGCTTTAAAGGTAACTCAATGGTTAAATCTAGCCAAAGATGTGAAAACAAAAAGTACCTCTTCAGAACAATATTTTAATATCACAATATTCAGAATCTAGTACAAACTCGGACTACATTTTAATTCAGACCTCAAGAAACACATCCCATGAGAGAATCTGTCTTATACAGTGATGTTGGTTAAATGACCACTACTGCTTAACTGTTTGTGTTTTCATACTTCACTTATTTTCACTGTGATCTTCATCACCTCAGTCTTCTTGCTAGATCTTGTACTTATTTATGGATAATTAACCAGGCATGAAGTTCGTCCCTTCCTTGGAAGGGGGTGAAAGACTCATTAGTGATTAACAGAGCAGAATGTGCAGGTTGGCAAGGGAAACTCCGCTATCTGCTGTATAAACCTTAGTTATAGCTAATTGAATGTGATGCATTTGAGTTTTATTTGCATGCCTTAAGGTCTTTTACAGATCGTTGAGTAATATTGTGTTGACACTGTTAATTGATCGGTTAGGATTTAATTAATTAACCCATACTTTAATAGGGATATTGAGTGTTGTGCTTGTGTGCAGCAGCAGGTTGCTCTGTGTCTGGGCCTATGGAAGTATTTGGTCAGCCAGCCGCTGCTAACCTGACAGTGACCAGCAGCCCCATGACCCTAACAGGCCACCGCTATACAGCCGGGCCTGGAGCACAACACCCTCCATCACTTCCACATAGTGTGCAGATTCCCCAAACTGATGCCAGGTGGGCAATATCAATTCCAGTACGTGATGATGAGCTCATTAAACCTTAAGAGTGATACTAAAGTGGTTAACAACAATCTGTTTCAGATCAGTACAATCCAGAGAATCCCTGGCATCCACTACCCTTAGTCTGTTTGACACACAGTCGATGTTTAGTGGCAGACACGAATACTCGTATGGTTTCCGTGTGCTTCCTCCACTGGGTCTACCTCAGTTCCAGGCCCAGGCCAGCGAGGGGGGAGAGCAGCTCAGCCTGACCCCTGGCACGGCCATGTCAGGTACGACCGTATCAGGAGGCACCAGCAACTCTGCCTCCCTGCCCTCGTACCTCTTTTCAGCTGATGCCGGAAGCCCCCGACAGTCTTGTGCTAAGAAGAGAGCTCTCTCCATGTCGCCATTGTCAGATGTCATGGGTATTGATTTCAACTCCATCATACGCACCTCACCTACTTCCCTCGTGGCTTATATCAATGGTTCCCTCAGCTCTCCAGCCTCCCACCCCACACTCTCACCTGTCCAATCAGAAGGTTATGGGCACTTCCTGGGAGTGAGAGGCTGCTGCATCCCCAATGGCCATCCCTACGGCATGCCAGGCTCTTCGCAGGCTCTGGCCACACAGACAGATTATAGCCGTATGCAGATGCTTGAAGAGGGAGGGGGTCTGGAGAGCCAGATGGCTAACATGGTGGTGGACCAGCAGTGCCTCCCAGAGGAAGGAGGGGCACTGGAAAAGACTAAAGGGAGCTGCAGCCAATTCACCCACAACCTGCTGCCGCCTCCACAGATACAGCCAGCCCTGCTGACTACCATCCAAGAGGCTGCTGCTCTACAGGGGCCTCCACCACCCTACCACTCACACCAGCACTTCCACCTCAATAGACATCAATGCAAAATAAAGCCCCGTTCGCAGGACTCTCTCAAGCACGCTCCCATGGTTCATCCAAGGCATGGGGTGAGCTTTCTGCCACAGGTCCCTATGCTGGAGGAGGAGGAGGGAGAGCTGGAGGAATACGGGGCACAGTGCTGCAGGTGGTTGGACTGCAGTGCAGTCTATGACCAAAGGGAGGAGCTGGTGAGGCACATAGAAAACTGCATGTGGACCAGCGGAAAGCCGATGATTTTACATGCCACTGGGCGGGCTGTCCACGCAACTTCAAGGCCTTCAATGCCCGATACAAGCTTCTCATCCACATGAGGGTTCATTCGGGAGAGAAACCCAACAAGTGCACGGTATACCTAAAAGAAGTGTCTCCACACCCAACAATACACATATAGCACATCTCTCTCATAGTCAGATTCCTTTTACCTATTTATGAGGAGAATGAGTGAATGCAGAAAAAAGCTGGAACATGATGAATGTCACTGAGTGCAATGCTTCATTCAAAGCCACCGTATCTAGCTGAGACCATTCAAGCCTCTGGCTGCGGAAAAATAAAGCTTTTTCATAGGGCAAATGCCTTCATGTGCTCTGTGTTTAAGGCCAGGGTTTAGACTCAAAATATGGCTTCTCTCTCCTTTTAACTTTAGCCACGGGGTAATTAGCAGAGCTCTGTGATAATTGACAAGGGGTTTAACTCAATTATTTAGTTATTACATCAGCACAAAGGAGGCCTAGAACTGTAGATCTGGCATGGCAAAATGGCTCTCTACTGGGCCTGTCAGCAGCAGGGGGCTTGCCAGGCCACCGTCTGACAAACTTGGCCCTCGTTCTGGGAAGGTGATGCCCCAATGTCTGGCTCTTCACAGGTCTGCATTTCTGACTGTAGAGCTGGAGGTAATCCATGTGCCAGATTATTGATGAGCTTGGTTTGTCCAAAAAAGAGGATCTAGTTAATTCATATTGCAATATAATGATGCCTCTTTAGTTTGATATTACATGTGATGGGAGAATATATATAAAATATGCCTCAGCTATACTGAGACAGTACTATGAGCTAAAGGCTAAAGTCATCAGTCAAACACACTGATAAAGACAATGCTAATATACAGGTTCAGGTTGACCATGTTCATAATGTTAGCTTAGTGTGCTAGCAAATGTTAGCTTTTTCAAATGAACAAATACAACTAATGCTGATTCAAATGTCATTACCTTGGCAAGTTATAAACCAAAGTATTGGAAATGAATATTTTAAATCAATAGTGGTGTTATATGAAGGGCATCAACAGAGTCATTACCATTAAGTAAGAAGGGGCTATGAATGTCTCAAATTTCACGCATTCTATAGTAGATGATGAACCGTTTATCTCAAAGACAAGGAAGTCAACCTCTTTTAGTGGCACTAAAAGCAAGGTCAAAGGATCACCAAAATCAGTAGTTGTTTTCATTTGGAAGATATACAATTTTACAAAATTAATGGTTATTCAATTAGTAGTGAGATATTGCAGTCTAGATGAAAGTGGTGGACCAACCGACGAACAAAGCAAAATGTTGTCATGCAGCGAGCATGACTAAAATAATATCTATGGATTGTATATCCCTTGTTTTTTTCTCACTTCCATTGGAAAAATACTTCAACTTTGATGAATAATTTTAAAAAATAGACTTGCCAAACATGCTTCATGTCGCTACTTTCAACAAGTCAATTATTAACAAAACGGCATACCTGCAGTCGACCTTTTGGACCAAAATACTCACTTATTAGTTGAAGCCCACTCTGTTGCCATGGAGCTGCAAACGTTTGATGGGAGTGTGTTGCATGTAAAGATTCAGTGAAGAAAAAAGTATTCATGTTCACAACCCAATGCCAGGAAAGGAATTGATAAATAATGGGACACATTATATACATGAACCTCTCCACATATCTTTGAAGGAGTATATGTGAATGTGGTTATATCTACTTCCTGTGAGATTGAAAAAATGTGCTTTAACGATGGATATGCTTAATATAAAAACTGTGAATTTCACAGAGCAGTAAGAAAAGCTAACAGCACTTTGATATTTAGAGAACGGTCGGTAACTACTCTTGATGTCGCCCACCTTTTAAACGACAATCATCCAAGATGCAACAGTTGTTCTTGGGAATTGATTGACAGCTGAATAAACTGATGCATCGCAAATGAAGTGCGAGCCAGCAGCAGAACAATGAGGAAGCTCTTGTTACACCGTGAACATGCAGGGCAGGCCCAGGCTTGTGTCTGTCATCTCACAAATGTGTAATGATGTTTGTTAACATATCCTTGACTCACCAGTCTGTTTGCATCTGTCACTGTGATTTAAGGTTTTAAAGCACAGTGTGAACTTTAACAACAAACAATAGATTTCTACTATCATTGTGATTCAACCTGTTAATTATGAGTTTATTATGCGCTTTCAACATTAAGCCCATTGCTCTTGCGGGGAGTAAAGTAATTGAAGAAAATAAAAAAAGCGGTAGTACGTTATTCAAAAACAAATATTTTTTAAAAAGTGTATTAGTTGTAAGACTACTTTGTGTTTGTATTTACTTATGATATTTATGTTTTATTAACACAACAATTGGCACTACTGGGCATCACCTAAGTTAGCCAAAATGTATTTCTTATCTTCTCTATATTACTATTAATTTTCAATCAGGCTGTAATAAATCAGTGTACTTAAAAAGAGTCAAAATTAAAACGTAGTCCCTGCTAATCTGCCAAATTTCCCTACATGAACATCTTGTAATTAAAAGCCTTGCCACAGTAATGCCACTGAACGCACAACTGTTCATATTTCAAGTTTGACAATATTTTAAGCACCATCATTACAATGTGTTGTTAGGGAAATAACTCAGTTATAGCACCAGGAAATGATGCTTTAGAGCTTCTTTCACTATTTAGCATTAGTAAACAATTATTTGTATTGAACCAGAACTCTTAAGCCTCTCGTCAGTTATACGAAAAGTCCCACGTTATGTTTTCTTACATTTAGGCAGAGAAGAGCATAGAAGCATTTGATTTAAGTTGTTTGATTTAAGTACCGATTACTGACAGTTTGCTACATATGTTTTTTGAATGATGTGAAAGGTCTACTGACACAGGGACTGACAAGCTACAATATAGGGAACCAGGTGAAACGAAAAGAGCACAGAGGGTAGAAATATGTATCACTTGTGAAACAGGGAAGAGCGGAGAGTGAGTTGACCCTGAGGCTAGGACTGGGCATTGGAGAAAGTCTGCTGGCACACTGCAGCTGTCACTGTACCTGCCAGGACCTGTCAGAAGCTGGCCGTAACACTGATATATACACAGAGGAGCCATGCTCCTTTCTTTTCAGCCTAAACGTCCCTCGCGAGAAACTCAAAAGCCCTTCGCGCTTTATGAGAGCTTTATGAGACAGAGAGAGAGGGAGTTACACAGTTGCTCACCCCTGGCTAGTCCTGAGTCTTGGCAGTTTTTGTTTTTGTTTTATGCTGGTTCTCACTTGACTGACCATTTTGGTTCTGAGAGCCCATTTATCACTGTCTGGGTTTTTTTTCTTATGGTATTCTAGCTGAGGGGTTTGTTGGTCATTGTTTTCTTTAAGCTATATTTAGGATTGGTACTCTTTGTCAGAGCACCCCCTTAGGAGCATGTATTGTAATAGACTAGAATTAGGCAGAGTGCCAGAGTGAAATGTGTTGAAAGGGGCTTTAAGACGATTTCTTTTATTTTTTGCTAGAGGTTTGGTTTCTAATTTATTAGCTTTGACTAAATATTGAGATGGTTTCATTTTCAGCACTGCTTGACTTAGATGGTATGCTTTTATAGAAAAATAGAATTACCCTACCGGTCATTTATCATAAGGAAAATAATTGTCGCAACATTACATTTTAACAAAAGTGAGGTTTAGTAAAAAGTTATAGAAGGAAGTTAAAGTATGAAGCAGGTGTTGATGTGAGGAACTAGCTTTGTCATAATAAAGAAGGGCAAGTATTTCTGTGTGGAATGCAGAGAAATGTTATAAGTTACCTATTAGTCATCAGAGACATTTTGATTGGCTTTGTCTGTGATGATTGAGAGGTATCGGTATGTCAGGAATCTGGTCTTACAGGAAAAAAATAACAAAATTGGACATGGTCTACGTGTTTTCTCCATAAAGCTTAGTAATGACATTCCAGCCCCCCTGAGAGAGAGTAAAGTCCTGACCTTACACAAGGAGAGAAACATATTTTAGCAGTGAAGTCACTCTGGTAGCTTGATATTGAGAGCTATTTGTTTGGATTATGCTCCTATATGTTTTGTTCCTGAAGTAGCCTTTATTAGGTTGTTATGGACTCATTCTTCATTCTGAGTTTTGCCGCAAATGAACAACAAAAAGTCAACTACAAGTGACTTTACTTGTTTTGTAATTGATAGCCAGCCGCTGTCAAGGTGATGCAAGATGAAGGATTCAAAACACAAAAAGACAATACAGTGATGTGTGTATACACACTGACCCCTGCTGGTGACACATACAAACATCAGAAAGGTGCCATTTAAAATATTAGGATTGGGTCAAGCATGAATTTAAATTTGAAAGTGTGAGAGTGGAATTAATACATTTTTTAAAAACAGTTTTAAAGATGTTAACAGAATTTGCAAGAGAGGTGCAAAACGGTTATAAAGTATTTATTCTTTCACAGCACATAGCCTCATGACTCTACGCGTGTTAACACATTTAAAATCTGAATATAATTGTGATAACAGTTCCTTATTTTTAGCAGGAGTGCATACAAACTAGAAAGAGATAAAGACACAAGGTGTGAACAAACTTATGTGTTTCTACCATGTTTGTGACTGTAAAATTGTTTTAGATCATAGAATAATTCTGCCTTACTGATAGGAAACTAAGAATTACCTCTCATAATAGGGCAGAGTCATGACTGTAATCAAATAACGCTTGTTGAGTGATTTAAGCATCACACGTAACTGATTTGTTCAAAGAATTATGAACTCATTGCGTTGCCTCGAATTGTTGTGGTTAGATTTGTCTAGTTAATATATTGTCTTCATATTGTGATGTGCTCTGTATCCTGGTGCCCTACATGCGCAGAATTTTCTCCATTAAACACCCTCTTAACAACATCCAAAAGTGTCAAAATAAAAGGCACTGTCATCTGAATGCAAGTAGGCCTATAACATTTAAAATAATTGCAGCATGATAGGAATTGACAAATGAAAAATAACAAACATATAGAGACAGGCGATACAATAAAGTCTGCTCAACGCTAAAAATAGCCAGGATTGCATATGTGACAAGATAACACACTGCTGCAATAAAACTAAATTGCACCTGTCCATTCCAAATGTTTACCCCTCTCAGGGATTTGCTGCTCATAGCTGCTCGCCTTCCAACCATCAAACTAATATAGCAGGAATCACTTAGGGCTTGCTTAAGTGTCTGCTCAGGCTAAATGAAAGCTATTTCTCTATTCAAAGGGTTTTCTATACTTCCTCTTCTACTCTCATCCACACACTGAGGTCAGCAGGCTTTAGTCTACAGCAATTTCCATCTAATAAGCTCAACGCATCAGGTATGTGTGTGATGTCAGGTTGAAAATGCAGATCTGATATTGGGTATTGCAATGGACAGCAAAAACAAATCCTGAATGAAATGAACTGCTTGGATAACTTTTCTGTGTTTGTATGCTGTTACAGTTCGAGGGCTGTAAGAAGGCTTTCTCTCGGCTAGAAAATCTGAAGATCCACCTGCGCAGCCACACGGGGGAGAAACCCTACCTGTGTCAGCACCCAGGATGTTACAAGGCCTTCAGCAACTCAAGTGACAGAGCCAAGCACCAGCGTACACACCTGGACACAGTGAGTGCCAGCCTGATCACAATCATGTATCAGGTTGGTATTTCAAAGCTTGTTAATGTCTATTTGCGGAGTTCTACAAGTTACCAAATGTCTGCGCTTTTACAGAAGCCATACACGTGTCAGGTGCCGGGCTGTGCTAAGCGTTATACTGATCCCAGCTCCTTGAGGAAACACGTGAAATCTCACTCTACTAAAGAACGGCAGTCACGTAAGAAGGTACAGTGCTGACAAAACAATTCAAATGTTTTCTTAAAATACTATTGTTGTGGAAAATATATTTAACTGAGAAACATCGCACTTAATACAGCACTTAACTTCAATAATGTGTAAGCTTTCTGCTATACATAAACTGGATTGTAAAAGACATAAGCAGGCTCTATGTGGAGAAATCTCGTTAGTGATACAGTAATTGCAAGTTAACTCCATCATTGCCAAAACAACAACCACAAACAAAAGCTACACTAACGTGTCACAGGTTTTTTCCTTGTGCTGTAATTCTTCTTAATTAGCTGTCAGTATGGAACAGTAAACCCTCATGATCTCCACCCCTCTCTGTCTAACTGAGAAAATGTAATTTATTTAAACTTTCATTAACATCCAGGTTTAAACGCAAAAAATACATCCACTTAAGCTGACACTGACTGAGCCAGGTCATAAGAAAACACAAATAATGATGTTGTTTTTCATTTCTTCTCCTGTTTTCAAACCCTTTAGTTTACAGAGTGACCCCATAGAAAAGTTTCCCAATATACCGCTGCAGTTAACATATTTGCATGTGTGTGAGATATGTATGCCCTTACTGTCACTGTAGAAAAAGAAGGTGGGTGGTTACTAAAAAAAAAAGTGACATTTTACAAAGTCTCCCACATGCAAAACTTCTTTAATCTAAAACTCATAAAAAGGATTATAGTAATTGTGATTTAATTGATGCTTCTGAGGATAGAGTGCATGATATATTTGCTTACCAAAATCAATGTAAGAATAGCTTACTGTGTAACAACCCTCATAATCTTAATTAGCTATATCTCATCTTGTCTTTAAATAGTGTACAGGCTTTAGCGCTATAATTAAGATGATCAAAATGTTACTATTTATTCTAATAAATCCAATACATGCAAACTGTCTACTATACATATAAAGATATACAGTACAAAGCATAAAAAAGGCTTTATTTTATGTTTATGCTTCATGTCTCTAGATGAAATCCACTGCTGATGGGGCTCAGGACTCGCTGATAGACTGTTTAACCATTCACCCTCTGCAGCCGAGCCTTTCTCCTCTGGCAAGCATAGACTCCTCCCCTGGCGTACCCCTTGAATCATATTCTGGTATGTCCTGGATCTTTGCAATGATTGATATACAACTAATCTCTTATCTGTGTGAATCTGTGCTGTCCTGTTTTTCATTATTACCCTGTTGCTGTTAAACTACTGAATTTCCCCACGGGATTAATAAAGTTCCATCTTATCTAATTTTAGATACTTAAGTATATCTCCCTGCAACCATTATATTTAGGGTGTGTAACTCATTTCTGTTCCTCAGCTGCTGCACAGGGACAAGACTCCAGCAATCCCCACCTGGCTTTACTGTGCTCTTTACAAGATACATACAGGTACTGAAGATTTGTGTGCCATTGTGTCGGGTTTCATTAAAAGAAAAATCGTTTAAAATTCTAAATCTGTTCCTCAATTTGTTCATACGACGAAAAAATTCACCAAAAGTGTCCACATACCCATTCATTCAAGCAACAAGACTTAGCATTTTTGGCATAAATCCTTTTTGAAATACGGTGGAATAAGAACGTCAGCTTAACTCAGCGAGCCAACTGGTGTTTTCTTTACATTTTGTATCCCAATTGGCACAGTAAGAACTTTAACCATGACTGATTCAAATGAAATCTCCCTTTTGATGATCTGAAACAATCAAGTTAAACATTGGTTGTCATGGCTTCAAGACTATAAGCTCATAATTAGAATGATCAGTTTAAAGAAAGCACTATTTTGTACCCTGATCAAATAGTCTAAAGAGTTTTTGGTTTTTTTCATTTGTGTGTGTGTGGGTGGCTGGGAAGAGGCTTTACAGATTGGGGATGGCCAGCAACACATTTCTATGGTCAATCCATAGTAAAACATCCCTTCATCTATACTTCAAAGGCCATGATAAAGTATGTCTGTCTCTCTGAGCAGTCAGATGCTCACGGCTCCTCACTGCTTGTGATTGTTCTCATATCAGCAGTAGGTCGGAGCATTCGCTGCAGGACTCTGAGGAGACAATTGGGAGGCGAGAGCAGACCATGACTTGGCTCATTGGTCTTGACCGCCAGTATTAATGGATGTTATAGCCACCGACAAGAGCGGCTAAGGAATTCAATAAGTGAAACATAAAATCAAAAAAATACCATTTAGGGTCCGGTGGGAGAAGAGAAACCCTGTAATTACTTCTTTTTTTCGAAGTTAAATCGATTGTAAAATCCTTGTTGCCATTTTCAGTCAAATTCCCTGGGATTCCTTTGGATCCCCATTCAGTCCTTGCATATTGTCAGAAAACTCTTGTTCCTTTTGTATCCTTGTTATTGGCAAGTAGACACATTTACTTGGCCAAACCTAACGGCAGGGGTCTCAGCTTGCATGGCCACAGAACAATATTAAATATACTAACTTAATACTCTTGATTTAACAATGAGTTACCTGAATGTGAAAGTAATGTCTTTGATTTACTTGTGTTTCTTTTATTAACAAAGGAAAACAAATGTATTGTATTGTTAAGCTCCTATACCATCCCATACAACATAGACAATCTGTGAAGTTAAAAGAGTGTTCCTATTACAGACAAGTACACTGAAACAGGAGCAGTTTCAATTCATTATGAACAAATCGCAAGCATGGTGCCATGGAAAATGCTATGAATTAGCTGTGTTGCACAAGACAGAATAGTGAGCTAGGAATAGTCTATACTACATCATAAAGTGCTTCTAGAGTGCCTCTGTTACTACTTATTTCAATTGCAAAGTAAAGAGAATCAATATTGTGGTCATGAACTTGATAAGTGAAAGACCTTAGATGGTGCTCGTTGTTCAGTTCTCTGCAGGAACTATATATCTTATTTCTAGAAGCAAAACCATACATACGCATTTAAATATAAACTCAAAGCAGAAAAAATGAGCTGCGCGGGAAGCCACCATGCTAAGGAATTGATGTCGAGGAATCCATGAAAGCCGTTTTTCCATCCATTACATGGATGTGGAAATGCTTTCTGCTCATCCATGTCCTGTTGGACATCTCAATTTCATTATTCAAGCTTGTGAAGGATTGTCTAAGGACTTCACAGAAGATGACAGGTGTGTCTAGTGGGAACGAATGCTGAAGCTGTCGCCTTGTCAATACTTCATGATGGATTCATTAATGGTTTATTTGCTGGATAATTGGTTAACATGCCTTTGTGTGGAACTATGGAAAACATGGATGTGGACAAAGAGAGTTGTTTGTTAAAGAGCAATGTTAGCCTTAAAATCTAATCTAAGTATGATAAAAAGCGGTGAAACAGATTTTGATATTGGATGTCTTTGATTTCTACAGGAAATGGTTTAAAATGATATATACAAATGATAGCCTTCACTGTTGATGGTTTCAAATAAGTTGATGTCCTTACATCTTTATACATACTGCATAATACTGTCTTTATATTCTTTAAGGAAAACATTGTCTTAAATAAGTATTAAAAGTAATGGAAATAGGCACAGCAATTAGCAACACTTGTATTTTTGTACACAATTAGTGCAAAAGTAATCCTAATTTATCTTCTTTCTGTAATAATTTTGTATATGTTATAAATATTAAGAAATCATTTTATTTCATTTTAAATAGAACATAAGCCTTACATGTTAATTAAACAAATCCTGTGTACAATACATTACATTTTCTACATTCTCAATTTAAAAACACGTTTGGAAGTCCTTACTATACAATGATGTTCCTGTATGTTTCATGCAAATAATTCATAATTCTTTGTTTTATTTTGACTAATAAGAACGTATGTTGGCCTTTTCCCTAATTCCACCTGTGGAGTATTTAATTCAGTCTGAAATATTTCAGGTTTGTTGATCCCTCCCCCCACCAGCTCCTCCCCAGAGAGCAGTGTGGGCCGCATCCTCCCACTGGGACCTCCCTGCAGAACAACAGAGATCTGAAGCAGCCCAGCCAGTCTCCTGATCTGGCACATCACAACCCAGGTACTCATAGTTTAACATCAGTGTATTCCTAATTGTGTCAAATAATTATAAATACAATTGTGAAAAAGGGAAGGTAATTCAAAAAAGTGGTGCAAGTCTTACATCTGAATCCCAAATATACAAACAGTTTTTCTCACATGCATATTAACCATGTAGTAAATCCTTGTATGTAGCAGGTTGCTGGTGATTTTCCTTGTTAGACAGAATCAGGCAACACTACTCTATGTAGCTTTAAATAGATCACCTCTTTACTTTACGGACTTGACAGCTAATGTGATGTTAACAAGGTGCTCAGCAACAAAGCATAACAGTTTAAACTGCTGAGATAAAGACAGGTTTAAACATAAACGGTGGCTCCATTAACTGACAAAGCCTTTTCTAATGCAATGTTTCATTTAAGGACTAACATGCTTTAGACTTTTTCTTAAAATGTGGATAAAGAAGTGCAGCTTTTCTCATTTAACCTGCAGGGCTCTCAGGGCAGATTAAGATGCTATATTCTCCTCCACAATACGGTGGGATCACAGCACAGACCAGCTCGAGTCACCTGATGCAAGTTGATGCCTTTGGTGACAGCAAGGCTCCAGCAGTCAATAATCCCAGTGGGATGGCCACTACAAACAGCTCTTTCCTGCATTACAGGTAATGAAAATACAGCCAAATAAAATCACTCAAAGAAAAGCACTTATTGCCATCGGGTTTCACAACACCTGCTTTACAAACGTGTGTGTGTGTGTGTGTGTGTGTGTGTGTGTGTGTGTGTGTGTGTGTGTGTGTGTGTGTGTGTGTGTGTGTGTGTGTGTGTGTGTGTGTGCGTGTGTGTGTGTGTGTCTACAGGTTTTGATGTCCACAGTCCAGCACAGGATGTGGTTCCGTATCAAGAATTGCATGGAGGGGATTTCTTCAGTGTGGCAGACCACTGCACAAGCCAGCTCTCCTGCATCTACACAGAGGGATGATGTTACTTAAATGTATTTATATGTTATTACTTTTGCACTATTTTGTGTCCCTGTTCCATTTAAGTCACGCGACGGTCAATAGTAAGAACACTTAAGATGATGCCACAACTTGGCGGTAGCTTCATTTAGTTTAATAAAGGGATCTTTGATTGATGGATTGATTGAAAGCAATCTAAGATGCTGCTCCCTGGGTTTCTCTGGGAATTGATTCTTTTGTCTCTTCTCTAAATGTACTGTCTGACTTAACACTCATAATCAATGTATTCTAATGACTAAGCCTACAGGATTTTAATGTTAACTTTCTCAGTTTGTATACAACTTGTGTATAACTATGTTCATTTAGTAAGTAATTATACATCTAGAGTACATATCTACATCGTCAAAAATGTAACAATGCATTTGAAGCAAAGTATGCCAGGGATCTTTTATTAAGGTTTTTCTTAGAACCATTGCTTTGTAACTATAGTAACAAGACAGCCTTACCATTTCACTGTACTGTTCATAGACATAACCTGTTGTTTGAGGATCATACTGTTATATGCTTTGATTGGTCCTGTGTGTGCATGAGGCGGGTTTCTGTTGGTGACCACTCTAGTGAGTTATTTACAGCAAATTACTCTTAGGTCACATTGCAGTTAACCCTATCTGATTGAAGGGCATAGTGCTGTCCAAAAACAACAATATGGCAATGGCCAAAAACCAATTGAAAATGACAAACATAAGACTTAAAAATGATAGCCAACAAACCAATGGGTGACCGTGTGTTCAGGGTGACTATGTCCACTTCTGTGTGTATATAATCTATAATAGAGCCTTCTTTGTTTGTTTATTTAAAGTAAATCAACTTCAACAATTTGACATCTCCTTGGGTTACCAGCAATACATCTGCTAAGTATAAAGTAGATTTGATGAATGGTTCTTTAGACATGCAAAGGGACATTTCCACATACAGACCGATCGAGATTCTCTGCTTTATAGTTGGACTAAACTGTAGATGGACTAAAATATGCAAAAAAGTTATTTAACGTTTGAATACATTTGAAATGGATCAATAAAGTAATTCATTGGTACCCTTGTTTGTCAAATATCATACATTGTGTCTCTCAGTGATATGACAATGCACCAAACGGTTGTGGATTACTACATCTTAGTTTATTATATGTTTTCAAGCTCAGCACACAGATCATTTACATTAAGGTCACAATTCTAACTCACAAAAGCATCTTTCAATTGATGAAGACTTGCTCAACAGCTTAATTGCTGCCTTTAGAAAGAGTGTTGTTCTGTTAAAAGCAAGGCCAATGACATATTGATATGTAGCTGTCAAAAAGAATGCAACAAGATTGTGTGGGTTCCTAAAAATGTTTCTCTTCTATTATGAGATTTAAAAAAAAACATTTAACAATTAATTCAGTATCTTTTTATAGATTCAGTATCTCTATCTCTGTTTGCTTTAAACAAACCAAGACACACAACAAAGCCACTTCTTTGTGGTAGCAATCTCAATTCTGTAGTCAATAAGCTTATGTAAATAACTCAAATAAATAGCAACCATTGCTATATATTAACTATATGTAAAGCAAGAAGGCTTCCAATAATCTTAGCAGTGTTTTTTCCCCTTATTGTAAATTGAAAGGACAAATTATTTTAGTTGAAAAATAATTATTTTAGCAAAAGAGTGTCAGCTGCTAGTTGCCTAGCAACAACAACAGCTTTTCCAAAGCATCTGTTTAGTACTGCTAACCAAAAAAAGTGCTGCAGAGTGGACACAGGTGGTTGGTAAGGCTCTGTATGAAGAAGTAAGCTTCTTAATAAAGATGGCTTTCTTTGGTCACGGTTCCCAAATTAGAAGTTGTGCATGTCTGTAGTTGTAGTGGTGAGTTTGCTTTATATAAAAACTTCAGAGATACTACAGTCATTGTTTAAACATCCACCCTTTTGTCTTAAACAATGAACAAGTTTTGACACAAAAATAAACGTTTGCCCCAAAATGCAGAAAGACAAGTACCAGATTGGGAATCAAACTAGGAAGAATTCAGTTCAAAAGCCTAGGCATTCGTTAACACACTTAACTTAACTTAGTAACACTAACAATAACAACATTTAGGAGGGGTTAACTTCCCAATAACAAGTAGGAGAGTAAGAATTATAGCAAAATGCAACATGACGCAGAATGGTATTCACCCTTAGCCTATCCAACCATCTGGCATTGTAAATATAGGCACTGCCTGTACTTTGTGGTTACAAATTCACACACAACTGATGGAATAAGGCAATCATTCTATGAGCTTTTTTTGTATAATAGCACCAGTTTCATCCCCATTTTTCCTTTAAAATGTTTTGCCATTTACTTTATTCTTCTCGATAATGTGGGAAGTCATTAAAATAGGTCTCTTTTTTATTTGGACAAAATGCTATGTTGTTTAGCTCTCAAATCAGTCTTTTTTAGGATGCTACCAAACATTTGAATAGGATATATATTCTTATGATTATGTACTATTTTGCTTTGTATTTAATAATTTGGTAGTAGGTGAAATTAAAATGAATGCTAAGAGATCTGGCAAACTGAGTTATTTGTTCCAATTGTTTTAGGAGCATATTTTGCTAGTTCCCTAGTATGCAAATTACATAAATAAGCAGATTTAAACAGATAAACCTAACCTTGTCCTCAATTTGGCGAACATGAAACTACATTTGACATCCTTGAAAGATCACAATACAAGCAAATAATTTCAGCAAATAATTAAATTGAAGCACAAGCAATACTATAAATATATGCAAAGGCCTATACATATGAAAATAAAGTCATTAATATACTATAACCAAATGATGACGGTCATGGATCACGTTATGGTGCTTATAATACTTTTATTATTTCGTGTGGATAAAATGACTCAGACTAACCGATTATTAAAAGTCTCTAAATAAATAAGACCTAGCGCTAAGGCTCGGGTAGAATAACCATCCTCGTAATATATTCCCATTATACTAAACATATGTATTTCGTTGTGATTTAATATCCGTAAGGCTGTATTAAGTGCGCTTTAATCTCCTCCCACCTGCCTGGTTAGGGTGCGCGCTCCCGGTGAGTTTTATAGCAACTGTTGCCCAGTGAGGCAGCGCCATAGTCACCGTAGTCCTGGCGACTGTAACCCACCAACAACAACCTCTCGCTCCATCATTACCACCTCCTCCACCATCCTCATCTTCATCAACCAGTCCACAGCTCAGGTTTGTATACATGTTATACTATTATTAGCTCTAAATCAAGTCCTTTCTCGCTTCATGGGCTAATTGCATGGGGGAGATTTGAATGCTGTAGTTTATGTTTTGTCTGCTGCTGAATGAAGGCTCGGTGGATAGCTCGGGTAGTTTGCTAGCGAGGGTGTTTCTTTGTGACGTGGTAGCCTGCTTGCTAACGTTGCCTGTAGATACCCACAGCTGTGAGAGGTCCTGCTCGCTAGCTCCTGCTAGCTATGTTCTCTCAATTGTTGATGTCGGCTCAAACTGACCTAAACGTTAGTCTGTGTGGTAGAAAACGGGTTTCCATGTAACTTATTTGCTTAAACTTACCATGCTGGGTGGTAGCGTAGGTCTGGGCTAGTCACTGATGCTAGCTGGTCAGCTGGAGCAGGAGCAGGTGTCTGTTGTTGCTAGGTTGCTAACGCCAGCGTTGCCCTTTTACAATGCCTGTTGGTATCCCATTTTTGGCTAATGTTACGGTGATATTGCAAGTGTATGTTGTTAAATCGTGTTGGTGTTATAACATCAATAACGTCGACCAGCAAATGAAAGTGCTGTAAGCTAGCTTTCCATACACTAACTGCTATTGACAATAGCTAAGCCATTACTTTCCCTTTTGTCTTAGGGAGCAAGAAAGCTTCGCTAGCTCTCCGTCTGCACTCTTTGTGGCATCAGATGGCTACGATAAGCTAATTTGATAACACAAGGCTAATTTTCGCATTGGTCAGGTTTGAGGAAAAACGCCTGCCTTTATAAAAAACATTAAATACCTCAATATTACTCCCCGTTTTACCGAATCATTTCGTTATTCTGCATTTCACATTCTGTACCTCGGCTGGTAACGACAAGCTGTATCTGCAATGGATTTATTGTTATTGACAAACTATTTAAATATTACATTTTATATTTTCAGTGTGTGTGTATTGGTGTCCATGTTTATTTCTGGGTGCGCAAAAAGGGAAAGGGGTGTACTCAATCCAGCATGACACTGTCCGGAGGGAGGACATGTTTACTGTAGAGATATTATTCTTAATTTTGCCAGATTTATTTTAGGCTAATTTACTTCGGGTAAAAGAAACAATTCGACTACATTTCAATCAAAAATTGCTGTTTTTCCTGTTACTCACTATAATATAGTAAACATTAGAATCAGAATCAAAAACATGTGTATTGCATTGAATCAGAAGCAGGTTCTGATACAAGCCAATAAGCAGCCATATTTTGTATTCTTATTTCTGATGTTTATTTGTAGGTAAACACATACGAGGTGCCTTGGTGTATATGGTGCACACATAAACATAGTGACATAATATCAATTGTAAGAAACAGGACCAACAAATAAAACAACAATTATAAAAACTTTTAGGATTCCTCAATCCTGTGGGTGGGTCGAATTAGTCAAGGGACTTGGTTTCATTTTTGTGTGTGTGTGTGTGTGTGTGTGTGTGTGTGTGTGTGTGTGTGTGTGTGTGTGTGTGTGTGTGTGTGTGTGTGTGTGTGTGTGTGTGTGTGTGTGTGTGTGTGTGTGTGTGTGTGTGTGTGTGTGTGTGTGTGTGTGTGTGTGTGTGTGTGTGTGTGTGTGTGTGTGTGTGTGTGTGTGTGTGTGTGTGTGTGTGTGTGTGTGTGTGTGTGTGTGTGTGTGTGTGTGTGTGTGTGTGTGTGTGTGTGTGTGTGTGTGTGTGTGTGTGTGTGTGTGTGTGTGTGTGTGTGGGCCTTTCTGTATGTTTCTTTCACACACAGTAAATACAATTTGATTGTCCTTAGAATATAGTTTTCTCATAAATTGTAGCATATTTAGGTTTTGTATCGTCAAACAATTTTTATCAAGTTGGATCAGAAATACCACCCATACCATTTCTAACATATACTGTAGGTAAACCCTTAAATATTGTTAACATATGAATTAATTGGTACACATGCAACCCAAAATAGGTCATGTACAGACACCCCTCACAACACACACACAGATAACAGGATGTGGGGAACTGCTAGTTATCAGATCACGTTACCACTTACCTGTAGTCCAGCAGCGCAGAAATAGTACCATGCCACCTGCTGCCTGGATCCTGTTACATTTCCAATCACTTAAAGAGGGGCTGATTAATTCAATTATTCACTCATCCATTTTCATGGCTTAGCAGAATACAGCATGTTTGGTTTGTTATTTTCCCCAGCCTGCCAGCTATAATGTATATTATTGATGAAAGAAGAGAAGTCCTTGTTTGTTCTTCCCATAACCCACATCTGGCAATAACAGCTTGGACCTACTTTGTAACCTAGGTCAGGCCACTTCCAGAAATGTTGACATTTGACTTTGACTTTTTCTTCTTGTCCTGTAATATAAAAAAAGATTAAACATGAAAAACTTCACTTTTGTATTGGGAGCTCAATTAAAGGTCCTATATTACTGCAATGTCTTCAACAGCTAAATCAGCTGTCCGTATGAGTCACTAACAGTTTGTTTTTACAATCTGAAAGCTTAACTCTTAAACAAACACAGCACTTTGCATACCTCCCCCCACGTCAGTTCCCAATTACATCTCCCCCACCTGTTTTCCTGCTGCACTAGCACCTGATCATGCTCCTGTCTTGCCTGGGGTTGCATGTACAGTGTGTGTGTGAGAGGTAGAGATTTTGTGTAAGGTGTACTTTTCGACCTGGTTCCCCAGCTCCTATTTCTGAACTTGGTCTATCACACTACACCTTCATAATACATGATCATTAGAAAAGCAAATTATGGTTCTGTGTTTTTATCTGCGACTGTGAACCTTGCACCTTTTTTATGTTGCTTGTAATGTTTGCAGATGAATAGAGGGGGGGGGAAAATGCAGGGCAAAATGTTGCCCTCCTTGGTGGCTTTTGTTCCTCTGTGTCTTTGTAGGGCTTGCACTTGCTCAGTGGAGCACAGCATTTAAGTGGGCCACAAGGGAGTGTGTGTGTGTGTGTGTGTGTGTGTGTGTGTGTGTGTGTGTGTGTGTGTGTGTGTGTGTGTGTGTGTGTGTGTGTGTGTGTGTGTGTGTGTGTGTGTGTGTGTGTGTGTGTGTGTGTGTGTGTGTGTGTGTGTGTGTGTGTGTGTGTGTGTGTGTGTGTGTGTGTGTGTGTGTGTGTGTGTGTGTGTGTGTGTGTGTGTGTGTGTGTGTGTGTGTGTGTGTGTGTGTGTGTGTGTGTGTGTGTGTGTGTGTGTGTGTGTGTGTGTGTGTGTGTGTGTGTGTGTGTTGTAGGGGCTTTTTGCCTCGATTAGGTGGGCTCAGTTGGGGCCATGCACTTTAGCTTAACACTGTGGAATATACATCAAGTCTTCAGTCTGCTCTCGTTAAAAGTATTTTCTTTTTAGCATTGGGCTATAGTAAGCATAGTAAGCATAGTAAGCTGACGGTTTAATGTGTTGTTTGACATTTTAACCACAGGATTGTAATTCTGCTGAATTGATTGTCATAATTTACAGTATCTTGTTAAAATCGCACAATATGAACATTTGAACCGGATAGTAGTATTTTTGTCTCCACAACTAGACTTTAGTGTCTAGCAGTGTCATTTCCCCTCCCTAAGGTGTTACAAAAAGTCATGCTGGAAGCGAGCGGCTTTGTGTTGATGGATCTCAGAGCCTCTGTATGTAAAAGAAACAAATGCAGATTCTGCCTGCTGCCTTGCTGTGTCTCACGGGCTCAGTGCGGTGGAAAAGATTGACTCAGCAAGTCAAACTTTGAGGTTAATCACCCCAACACGAACAAGAGTGATAGCCTTCTTCCCGAGAAAAAGGCCGGTATGATATTGAAGATAAGGGGAAGGGGCAGGCTGTCCCTGGAGAAATTTGAGGCTGTTAGGAGACCCAGCTTAATTAACCAAGAGAGGCTTGTTTGTGGAAACTGTGATGTGGAGGAGGCGGCCTTTCCCTGGAAGGAATGGGTGATGGTAGCCTTGCTATTATTAACTCACAAACACAGGTCCACCATCGGTGTCTCGTCACATTCTTATCCATCAAAACAGTTTACTTAAGCTTTAGTTAGTAAGTCTTTTATTACTAGTAATGCTGCTATCTTGAAAATGATGTAACTTCCATATGTTTTTAGGGAACTTTTCTTAGATCCGGGCCTTCTTATCTCAACTAACGTTTAACCTGTAGCAGTGGGAACTGAGGGAAGCAGCATCTATTTGGAGTTTGTTAAATATTAACTTGTTTTATGGCTGTGAACATGGAGACAAGACCATGTGTCACTGATGCATGAGGCTCTTAGTACATTAAGTACCACAAAGCAGAAACAGGTGCCTGGGTAGAATCAGTGTTGAGTAGCATTGAGTAAAACTTAAGTGATTTGTGGTAAAACATTACGCTTACCCTTATCTTTAGAGACCTTTTATGTGCTGCGCTAGGCTAACCAAATCATGATGATTATTAGAATAGTTTTCTTCTATACAAAGCATTTGTCGTGTACTATTGTAGATGCACCACTACCTGTTTGTTATTAAAGCAATATGTTTTAGACATGTGTTAAGGATAGGGTTTAAACTTAAGATATTAGAGTTTGATGTCATTTTATGACTATTTATTTAATAAGAGGGTGTAAAACAAAGTAATCCGTGCAGTCCTTTTTGTAGATTATAAATCAGTTTTTCAACAACAACCAGAAGAATACAACCCATGTGTGAGTTTACTCTGTTTAAGTGAGTTATCGATGTTTGCTCAGTGATGCTATAAGACTATTATGTTGTTGTTAGTGGATCTAAAGTTGCTGTGCCAGTTAAACCGGTATGTTGAGTGTTCTGTAATTGTGGCCATTATCTATGTACAGTAACACTGTGTTCTCTGTCTAATGTAGGCGCCATGCAGACCCCTGAAGCAGGCGCTGACTCCACCTCCACCGTCCCTCTTCAGACCACCGTGCCTGTCCAGCCTACAGGCTCCACACAGCAGGTGCCTGTCCAGCAACAGGTACATCCAGCCTGCTGTGATTGTTCCTTTGGGGGGTTGCAGATGTGACTGCATGTGACTCAGATCTCGTACTTTAGTCAAAGTAGAAGTACCAGAGTGTAGGAATACTCTGTTACAAGTAATAGACCTGCAATCAAAACATTACTCAAGTAAAAGAACAGAAATATTTTATATATTATATGTTTTGATCATGATTATTGATGCATTCATGTGTTTTTCACAGCTGGCAAAGGTGCAGCTAGTTGTAATGACTTTGTATACTGCAGGTTAGCTTGTGAATGTATTCCATGTGTAACTAAAGTCTTATTTAAGTGATTATTATATTTTATATCATTAATCCATATCTGCTAAGTAACTAAATGTATTTAATAAATGTAGTGTAGTAAAGTGCAGTATTTGCCTCTGAATTGTAGTGGTGTAGAAGTATAAAGTAGCAGAAAATGGAGATACTCATGTAAAGTACCTGCAAATTGTACTTAAGTACAGTACTTGAGTAGATGTACTTAGTTACTTTACACCACTGAATATGTGTGTGCATGTCTATGGTTACCTGTGCATTATGTGCCTTTACTAATGAATTTGCCACTCTTGCAATTTGTCTTGCCAGGCCCAGACTGTTCAACAGGTTCAGCATGTTTACCCAGCACAGGTGCAGTATGTGGAGGAAAACAGTGGCGTCTACACCAATGGCAACATGTGAGTCAGTCTCAGCTCTGCTCTTACACCACTCCACAAATATTAGCGCTACGTCTCCGCAGCCTGCTCTCAAGTCTCTTCAAACCAATCATTCATGTCACAAGCACATGATGTCGGTTGGAGTGCATTTGTGTTCTGTGTTCTGTGTTCGTTTTTCTTTTATGAGGGGAGTGTGTTTGATTGTGCTCAGCCACCTGAACATGACCAGAAGTAGGCCTGTGTTTGTAAGTGCTGATGCTACACCAGGGTCCCCAGTGTGTTTGTCCTACTGTGATACAGACACGAACACGGATACTCTAGGTGACCTCAGCTGCTGGTAGAAACAGTCGTGTAAGGGGCACCGCCAGGCTTAATGCTTAAAAAACAAAATAATACATACTCTAAAGAGCCAGACAAATGAGCCTCCTGAGCACCAGGCAAGTAAGGGTCACCCAAATCAAAAAATAATTGAAGTAATACAAAATATTTCATGATATTTTGAAAAGCAAATCCATTAAAATGATAATATATTCTGGATTGTCCCAGTTGTGGCGAGCGTTTTGTGTGTACCTCCCTATAGACCTGATAGGTGTTTTGCAAAACTAAGAAACACTGATTTTGATTAAACATTAAATACTTCACTTTTGTATTGGGAGCTCAATCAAAGGTCCTATTTTGCTGCAATGTCTTCAACAGCTAAATCAGCTGTCCTTATGAGTCACTGACAGTTTTTCTTAGAAACACTCGTTTAAAAAAAACAATGTTGATGCAAGAAAAAAAAAAACTTAATTTGAGAGCCATAATAAAAATGTTTCTTATTTCCCTAATTATTCATATCCCTCAGTTTTATTTTTGGCACATTGACTAACCTCTCTTCTTTCTGAACAGAAGAACCTACTCGTACTCGGAGCCGCAGCTGTACAGCCAGAACAGTGGAGGAAGCTACTTCGACACACAGGGAAGCTCATCACAAGTGTCCACTGTGGTGACATCTCATGGCATGACCAACAATGGAGGAGGGGGCAATGGAGGGATGAGCATGAACCTGGCGGGGGGTCAGGTAATCAGCACCAGTCCTGGCTCTTACATCATGGACAACGCTGGACCCCACCCTGCCACCCAGACAGCAAGAGCTTCACCCGCCACTGTAAGTGCTAATCACTCAATAAATGGGCCGCTAGCCTATCTCTACCTGCCTGCTTTGATGATAGACTTACACTAACCCTATGTGGGTCTAAACTCTAAACTTTCCCTGTTTAGACCCACACCGTTTTTAGTTTTCCCAGACTCTCACTATCAACACAGATGCTCTGTTTCTGTCATACTTTATTGATCTTTGCACTAGTTTTATCCAAACATCTAGGACGGCAATCTCCACCGGTGTTCCATATTTGAACTCAATATGTGTGTCATGCTTTAGTGTTTACAAATATATTGTCGCATTAAAAAGGGAAAACATTTATGTGCACCCCCTCTATGGTGTCGTGTTGTATCTCTGGCGATGCTCCTTTGCTGATATATGCACTGTGCAGCGTAGGCTGTGTCAGCTACTGCCAACAATATTCACATTTGAACCCTTAGTATTTAATATTCAAGATATGCAGGGCTTTGTTTCTATTACTAATTTGTATATTTTAATAATGGAAAGAGTATTGTAACAATGAAATCTTCATACTGAAACACAATGCTGGGCTGTTTGTTAAAATGTGAATACCAAATGAACTTGGCACACTGCCTTTAGCCATTTGTAATGAAGTCTAGATTTTCTCCACACATGATTGTTGTTGAAGTGGATCTCTGCTAGTGGAATCTGAAGGACTTGTGTCTGTCAGTTATCAATAATGAATGTCCTGATTTGAACCTCTGTCTCCGTTTCTCAACTAAGCAAAGATTGTCCTTACATGACAGGAAGTCCTGCTCTGCTTGGGTTTAGTGGTGCTTGCTTTGTGATCTCTTTATTTTTGCTAGTGGATACAAATGTGTCTATTCCTTTTTTTCTTGCTTTTGTTTTCATTTCCCCCCTCTTACATTTTGTTGTCCTGTGCTCCATGGTTTATCAGATTGAAATGGCGATTGAGACACTCCAAAAATCTGAGGGTTTATCCAGTCAGAGAAGCTCGCTGCTCAACAGCCATGTAAGTTGCTTTTACGAATGCCTGCCCTCGCAATTCTTTTTTCTTTTTCTTTCCTTCTCTCTTAACTCTGTATACATTTCAGTTTGATGTGGTTCTTGCTGTTTTTGCTGAGATTTTAATTGTGACTTTTGTTTTAAACGCTGCTGTAGAAATGCTTTTGCAGAAGTGTGATGAACCAACATTAGTCCGAGGTCTGTCCACAAAGTTAGCATGGACCAGATTGTGAATCTCTTGAGAAAAAAACAACGTCTTTCCCCGTGTAGCTCCAGTGGCTGTTGGACAATTACGAGACAGCAGAGGGCGTAAGTCTACCACGCTCCACCCTCTACAATCACTATCTGCGCCACTGCCAGGAGCAGAAACTGGACCCTGTCAATGCAGCCTCTTTTGGCAAACTCATTCGCTCCATCTTCATGGGACTCCGTACAAGGCGCCTTGGGACAAGGTTAGCTCTCAAATGTTTCAATTTCTTAAGAAAAGTGTGAGATTTTCACCAGCTTTCACCCTCTTACTATTGTCATTCATCCAACCCTTGATAGTCTCCTCCATCCATGTGTCATTGTGTGTTAATATTAGTTTTTTTTCTTGCAGAGGGAACTCTAAATATCATTACTATGGTATACGTGTGAAACCGGACTCGCCACTCAATAGACTTCAAGAAGACATGCAGTATATGGCCCTCAGACAGCAGCCAGTCCAGCAGAAACAGAGGTACACAGGCAACGAGATAGATAGATACTTTATTGATCCCAATTTTGGAAATTCTTTACCTACGCACGCATACAGACCTTCAGTACTTACTTATAGATACTGATTTGTGAGCCATGTGGTTTCAGGTTCAAGCCGGTGCAGAAGTTTGATGGCTGCTCCGGGGAGAATTACACAGCTGGAGGCCAGCCCCAGCCTGGTGCAGAGGAGCAAACAGTCATCGCACAGAGTCAACACCACCAGCAGTTCTTAGGTCTGCAGCTTTCTATGTATCTGCAAAACAACACAAGATGCACTGAGAAATACTGAGCGTTATGTGAATTCCTTTTGTCATTCCTCCCACAGATGCATCGCGGGCGCTCCCTGACTTTGTAGAGCTGGACGTTGGACAGAGCAATACCGAGAACATCAGCCCAGAGGATGTGAAAGCTCTCCAGTCCCTTTACAGAGAGCACTGTGAGGTGAGAGAAAGGGCAGATCTTTTAATAATCACTGATATGTCACTACAGCTCACTTTGGCGCATGAGTGTAATTAACAGGGAGAACAGGGGGTCGGTCCCTCTTCACAGCTCAAAGAAAGCTAAGTAATCCCTTTCAATATTGCAGCATTGGTTGATGCAGCATCATCAATATGACTATGGTGGCATTTTGACTATACATTGATCTGCCTGGACTACCTGCATTTCACCACCCTCTAAATCTATAGCACTTCCACTTTTTCCCTGTATATACATGCTGTCATTTGCCAATATGGATTATAACTGCACATTTACTAGTTTAAAACTTCTGAACAGCATTTTTACAAATCCAAAAAGACCAACTATTTTGGCTCTGGCTGGATTCTGAGCCTGGAAACTTAAACAAAGGTCATACGTTTTTTTGTGACAAAAATCCACAAATGCCAGCTGCTGGCATTTTGGAACAGGATTTCCTCTTCGTCTTATGAGGTTTTCAATCACACCGGTCCTAATGTCTGGAAAACTAGGGATCAAGACATCTACAGGGGTCAGTTCACTTAAATAATGACCTCACAACTGCTGATTGAGGTGACTAGCCATTCAGATAGCTTGAGGATAATGTGGAGAGGTTTTGATTTGTACATCACTAAATACATTTGACAAGTAATCTGCATGAAAAAACATTCACTGTTTTCTGCTTTTGTTTCAGGCTATCCTGGATGTGGTCGTCAACCTGCAGTTCAGTCTAATTGAGAAGCTGTGGCAGACATTTTGGCGTTATTCTCCCCCTGACTCTGTAGAGGGGGAAACTATAACAGAAAACAGGTGAGGCTTGTTGACTCATACAGTATAATGTTGATTTTTTCTTTTTCTTGACGTCTCTTAGTTTTTTGCTAAAGGGAAATATTAACAAATCGAATCAACTTTAGGATAATTTGAACGTTTAAGGTTTTTTCTAAATCTGGTTTGTTCATTCTTCAGCAGCTTAAGTGAGATTGAAGCTCGGCTGCCCCACTCTCAGCTATTGGAACTGTGCAGAAACGAGGCTGTACTCAAATGGATGAGCACCTGTGACCATCTGATGTACCAGGCCCTTGTGGAGATCCTCATTCCTGATGTCCTGAGACCTATTCCCAGTGAGCCACTGCCATACACACCTCTCATTTTGTTTTGTTTTTTAGGTAATCACAATTGTAGGTAACAACTGTTTCTGTTTTTCTTCAGGTGCCTTGACTCAAGCCATTCGCAACTTTGCCAAAAGCCTGGAAGGTTGGCTCAATAATGCCATGAATGCCATTCCACAGAGAATGATCCAGACCAAGGTACACTTTTTACAAAGTTGACCTCTTGTGGAAGTGCTACCCATACTATCAGAGGAGTGTATACTTGCAGGAGTTAATATCTGAGCTTATATGTGCTGAATAAAGGACGTTTTTGCAAATACAAATGAGAGCTCCAGCTCATTCAGGGTTTTGTGCTGAACAAGTATTTGCCTGTGGACTGATTAAGTATTAGTTTACTTGCAGGAGTTAACATCTGGGCTTATGTGTGCTCTCCACAGATTGCCGCTGTTAGTGCCTTTGCGCAAACACTGCGCAGATACACATCTCTGAACCACCTGGCTCAGGCGGCACGTGCTGTTTTGCAAAACACATCCCAGATCAACCAGATGCTGAGTGATCTCAACCGTGTTGACTTTGCAAACGTACAGGTCAGAACAGATCTTTGTGTTTGAATATTCAACGCCAGTGCTTGTACCATACCATTCCGTCATATTAATCAAAATAATGTGTTCTTTTATCTTCGATATACAAGTGTTTACCTCCGGTCCTTTCTCTGTGTTGCTGTACAGGAGCAGGCATCGTGGGTGTGCCAGTGTGAGGAGGGGGTTGTTCAGCACTTGGAGCAGGACTTCAAGGCCACCCTGCAGCAGCAGAGCTCTCTGGAGCAGTGGGCGGCCTGGCTGGAGAATGTGGTCACTCAGGTGCTCAAGCCTTACGAGCACCGGAGCAGCTTCCCCAGGGCGGCTCGCCAGTTCCTGCTCAAGTGGTCCTTCTACAGGTCTGCAGAAGAAGAAAAACCATGCTGAATCTCGGTTTTGAAAACACAAAATGCTGACAATGTTTTGTTGTGTCTCTGCAGTTCTATGGTGATCAGGGACCTGACCCTGCGCAGTGCTGCCAGCTTCGGTTCCTTCCACCTGATTCGCCTGCTGTACGACGAGTACATGTTTTACCTGGTGGAGCATCGCGTGGCACAAGCTACTGGAGAGACATTCATGGGTGTCATGGGAGAGGTACAACTGTGGCATCCTAACTTTGCAGAATTGTAGTGCCAAATTGATGCATTACAGTATATGATAGAAACATAGATGTGAAATAGTTGGTCCTTTCATAAATAATCAACCCAGAGGAGATGTTTGCCTAAATGCAAAGAGATAAGATAAGAGAGGACTTTATTTATCCCGAAGGAAATTGTTGTGCCAGAGTTACAAAGATACAATAAACACAGCAGCATAATAATACAACTGTACACTAACAGTGCAGAAAAAAGATAAATTGAATAACTACAAGTAACATAGACGGTCAAATAATTAATGTAAAAAAGCGGTACAGTGACGAGCAGCATTGAGTAGTGCAAAAAAACGTAGTGGCAATGTAGTATCTCTTCTAGACTAGAAATACAGTACATGTGAATCCCTGATGGCGCCCAATAATAAAAATGACTGTCTGTTTTTTTTCAGTTTGACAGCCTCAACTCCTTGTCCCTGGCTAACATTGATAAAGGTATGTGACTAAATGTATCAAGCACATCGTGTGAGAAACAGTTGTCTAGGAAACGTTCCTTTAACCTCCTGCCTCTACACTCAATAGGGGATGTTTTCTCCTGTCCAGATGAGATGAGTGGGATGGACAGCGACTTAGACGACGACCCGGAGGAGAGCGGGGAACCTCTGGCCAAGCGAGAGAAGTCTGAGCACGAGGTGATCCAGGTGATCCAGGTGGGGGCGCTGGAGGACGGGTCCCACCCTGTAGTGGGGGTGGTCCAGCCGGGCGTCCTCCACTCGCTGCCCCAGCCCCCGCAGGACCACAGCGAGCACATCCTCACCCCCTCTGCCGCTACGCCCACCATCCGCCACTGCAGCGCCACGGGCAACACCTACGCCTCCGTCTGAGGGTCTAAGGGCACGGCCATCTTTGTCTGGCCTTGTTTTTGCTATCTCACACTCCACATATCTCCCCCCTCTGTAAGTCTAGATGTTTCCGTCTCTCTCATGCATTGTCTCTGTCTGCCCTTGTGTGGACACGCTCTCCTCGCCCTATCAGTGGGGGGGGAGTGCTGAAATGAGGAAGATGTGCTGTCCTGTGGATGTGGTGTCATCCCATAAGTCTGTGCTCTATCGCAATGCGGCAGCTGGCGGAGGACTAATTCGACCCGTTAAATGTCTCCTCTCTAGATATGACTTAATGCCTCTTAAGGTTTTGTCTTGAAGGGAAATCCAACTCTTTCTTACTACTGATGTCTCAGAGCTCAAATCCATGTCACTAGTCCCAGTGGAGCAGAGTCCTCCATTGACTCAAGACCTTCACCTGCTGTAAATAGTTCTGCTGTACTTTCAATTGGTATTACCCAAAACTCATGGTGCTATCATTGTTTTATTTTTATTTCCATGAATCCCTCCTTATTCAGATTTATGTCCACATGCATTCCAACTGCTGCAAAACCGTTTGGCTGAACAAAATATTTTTAGTATTGTATGTAGCTAAAAACCAATGGAGGACTTTTTTTTTTGTATGTATGGCGTTCGGGTAAAAAAGGATCATGAGACAGTTCTGTCTGTTCTGTTGGAAAATGATATGGTAGCCACCCACCCACTGATAGATTTGAGTTACGGAAACCCTGAATGGAATACCTGTGCTGCTTCTTGTGTGTATATAGAAATGAGATTGAGGAGACCAGCTGTAAAAAAAAAACACTTTCTCAACGCTAGCTTTTCTATGCACCCCGTGCAGAACGCTTGCCTTTCTTCATTTTAGATGCTCTGCAGTGTGGTTTACATAACCAGCAGTAATCTTAAAAAACAACCCGACTGGACATGCTCCCCTGTTATTTTACAGTTTGTCTTAATGAAGTTTCTTAAATTCACAAAGGACCAAAAAACAAACCAACACGAGGGAGCTGAGAGTGAGCCACTTGGGGCCACCTGAGAGCTGTTTCCTGTCCCACAGTGCCATGTTGCAGAGCAGAAGGAATGTCAGGGATTAAATGTACCTCGGCTTTATCATAGTGCCTTATCCTTAAATGCAGCTGTCCTTGTAGTCCTGACTGTGTGCTGCAGAGAGCCCACAGCCCCCCCTCTGCATTGTCCCGGCCACACATTTTGGCTTTCTGGTGACTCGTGGCTGGATTTGGGCCGGCTCGTCAGTGCTGAGACTGAGGGATGCAGACTCACCTGTCGTCGTTTCCTCTGGATCAGCTCCACAAAGCTTCTAACTTATCGCGGTTGTTTAGCCTTGCTCCTGCCCTCACTCTGCCCTCTTGACGCCTATTCTTGCATTAGCCTTTCGTTATCGGGTGTGTTTGTTTGTGTGGGATGCGTAGGTCTGCACTGTGTTTTTTAATGTACATGTGTATATACGCCTGTGTGTCTGCGTTCTTGTGTGTGTGTGTGTGTGTTGGAACACATCCATCAGTCACCCTACCTCAAACCAGTGGTGCCAGCCCTTTGACGCGTGCAGCACAGTCACCAAACCTTATTGCACACACACCACTGTACTGCACAACTCTCAACGCGACAGAGAAAACACTGCATTTGCTTTTCTCTCACCTCTGATACATTCCATTTTCCGTTTTTAGCCCGTAAAAAATAAATGCTTTCATCCCTTTGTTCCCTGTTTAAAGATCATCTTTGTACAGTGGACCAAAAGTAGATATTTTGTGATATTCAAAGAGATATATAGATATATATATGTATAGTATATATAATGATGATACACTACATATATTTGTTGCTTTATATGTGATTGTTTCTTTTCGTAGCTCCTCTGTAATTAGCTCATAGACTGTGAAACGGCATGGGGACTCACTTGTGATTCATTAGACTACATCTATACTTGAACTGTTCTAGCATTCTACTGTATGTCGTGGAGATTATTGAGATTAATCCTCTGAATAGGGACGTTTTGTTACTAAAAAGGATTTGTGTTTGGTCTGCCGATTTCTCTGCAGAAATGTTTTATTTATTAATATTTATTGTGTTTTGGTTGAGATGCTTACCCGTTAAAACATATTTTAAAGGGTACTACTGATAATGAATCATACCACTGCAAACAGCAGACCTACTGTACAGGAGGACCAGATTTGTTTTTGTGTTCTTTTGTTTGTTGATATGTTTTTAAGGTTAAAAAAGAAAAAGGGTTGGCACTGTATGTTCTGTAATCACTTTCTGAAGGCTCCATCACTTGTCAAATGTTTTCTTTAGATATTAGATGATCTTTGCCATTTTTTGTATACTGTTCCTGTGTAAAGAAGCTAAGCAGTAAGTGTGGGTGGGGGAGAAAACACTGCACGTCAGAGAGGATTTTGGGTCAGCAGACTTTCGCAGGTATTTTGTTCGATAATGACACTTTGGGGACCTGAAAAGTAAATTCCTTGCTCATCGATTAAACCTACGGTACACCTCTTATAGACTTACACAGAGTCTAGTGATTTTGAAATGTCTGGTTTACCAGATCTAAGAATTGAGCGCAAACAAATCATGCTTTCCTCGGAGCAGTTTGAAAAGGTCAATGAACTTTCAGTAGCTGGAAGTTGAACGCCCGAGGCATTAAGTTTTACATCAGTTCACGGCCATAAGGAACTTGCCTCCTGACTTTTGGTAATAAACTGCCACGTTGCAGAGAAAAGTAATGAAAATGTCCAATATAAGAATGAATGCATACGAAAACGTAAGACTTAGAATAGCTCTTATACTTTCTCCAGAGCTGCTCATAAATCACAAATAACTGCAACCCCATACCCAAGAGCTCATTTGACCGACTCCAACATGCACTGAATATTTTGAGAATGACGTTGTAAAAAAATGAGGTCCAGTCTGCGACTTTAAATCTGAAATGATGTTGTAAATCTGGATAATGTGTTCCCGTTAGGAAGCGGAAGGTTTAGCAGGATACTTTTTCTTGTTTCACGTTTTTACCTTTGTACCACTGAAGGATTTGTTTTCAAATAGGAATTTCAGCTCCCTTGTCATATACATAGAACTTGTATTATTTTGTGCCTGAAGTGAAAACGGCTTATAAAAAAGTTTTCTTTAAATCTTAATTGTGTGCTTTAGGATCATAAGTGCTTTCTGGTCTTGCACGCCTACCATGTGCTGCTAGAAACGGTGGTGTTTTTGTTTTCCCACTCTAGACTCTATGTGCCAGACAGTGATATTGTTGCTTTCTGCATCTCATGGTTAACACTGGACTGACGCTAATGCTGCCAACACAATTGTACTTTATTTCTCAGTGTCTTTGAAATCGAGAAGATTGTTTTTGTAACAGCTGTTTGCAAAGGAGCCTGTTTTGAACCAGAGAAAAATAAAAAAAAGCAGTTCCTTATTTGTCACGGGAGCGGGAGCTGAAGGATGCCTCTTCACCTGGACATAACGGCAGCTTCACTGACCCAGAGCAGACTCCAGTGCCTTTCTTTTCGCCCCGGCCACAGCAGATGGCCTGGGCGACTATTGGGTCTCTGGTGGGCTACAGATAGAGGCTATCAGCGCAGACATTTCATTACACAGGTGCTGCCACTGAGAAGACCCCAGGGAAGCATAAAGACCTGTCCTCAGACTATTTATTTACTGGATGTGACGCCACACACACACACACACACAGTAGTTTACACATGGTAGATTACCTGCAAACAGCTTTTTATTGTACAGAACTGAACAAGGAGAGCGACTAAGTAAAATGCTCTCCGATGACTCGTTTTTCTCATGATGGTGATTTCTTTTGTCAAATGATATTTTCTGAATGCTGTGACCCGTTTGAGATTTGTATTTGGATGTTTTCAAGTGCCATTTGACAGTCTAGTGAGTCGTGGCCATCTGTAGCACGCTCTAATGCAAGCACAAGCATTTGGCAGTGGCATTTGGGGAAGGTTTTCTTTTTTGATTCACCCTAGACAAACATATGTATATATCAAAAACTGAAAAAGGTATATTTATTTGTGTCTTAATTATTTGATTTGTTCTCTTGGTGAACATTTCATCAGATATGTTGGCTAAAGTGCTTTTGTGATTTCTTTTTCCTCTTTTTTTTTGGATAATGTATAGTATCTGATATAATATATACACACAAATTTAATGTGACCTTTTTGTGTGCCATTACGTTTTTCTTCTCAAATTGGCAAGCGAACCAATGCGTGTAGGGTGATTTGTATTGTGTATTTTACATAAAAAACGAGGACAATTGGGGGACTTTTATATTTATAAAGACATTATCATTTAGTGTGTCGTATTGATGAATATAGAAACTATAAAAGACACATGTAGTTTGGTTTTCTGAATATTTCAGATCTCAGCTCAGGCTAGCTTCTTAGTGTTGTTTTCTTAAAGATTTGTGATTCGTCTTTGCAGTAATAAACGTTTTCTTGTTCAAAGTCAAGTGTCCTCTCACAATTTTAAACCCACACTTATCTCATTCTAAATAAAAATGTCTCGACTCCAACAATAGTGTTAGCCCATTGAATTTTATTCAACCATTCGCATACATATGAACACTAATATCATTCCAACTCGGTATATATTCAGAAAATGTTTGACACAAAGCGTAAAGACAAAGATGAGCAAGATGAGGCAAATCCGGAAAAATGTACAGCATTATTATTATATGGTTTTATCACTAAAGGTAGCAAAAGAGTATAAAACACTAACAAAGGTAAACAAAGCTCCAAATACCAAAATATTGTTGATTAATTATGCTGAGCGAAAACTGAACTTTTTCAGTTAAAAGTAAGGGTATAGGTGAGTGGCACAGCCTTAAAATTGCGTCGTGATAACCTTTTCACTTTTTATAGGGTATATTTGGCATTAATATGGCTTGCACTTCCTCTCACAGTTCTTCCTTTGCCTACTTTAATCAGCAGATGTCTAGAATACGCAATTAAAATGGGGCAGTGAGTACTTCAGTACCAGAGATGCACTGCCCGTACGTTTGAAAGGTGATTGTTCACGGTAGTTTTATCACAAACAGACAGGATATAACATTTTATAAACCAATCTTAAACCACAACTCAAAATATGTTCAGTAATTTTTTTGCGAGAATGGAGCTAAATACACATTTGTGATTTGAGTATTTGATATGGAATAGAGGTTTTGGCCGGACAATTTAAAACACATTTTTCATGGATCTTACCAAGGACAATATCAAGAAAACTATTATAAGAAATAATATGGATACAACAGTAACCATGCATGAAACAAGGCAGTGATAATGGACACTAAGTTACAGTATGAGTAATATTTTATGCGTTATTATAACCTTTTCTTGATTGATTCCAATGTCATTTTGGTATTTGAAAAACAGTAGAAAAAATATCCATTCTCAGTGTCACAACAACCTTGGCTGGTGATCTAACAATAACCGTTGAATAAAGGTTTTCTAGTGTTCAAAGCGAAGCTGTGGTTAGCCAACGGCAGCTTTTCAAATGCTATTTATCTCAACTATTAATAAAGGATAATATTAAAAAAAAACATCCAACAAGGACTGCCATGATTGAGAAATATTTAAGAGCACATCTTATAAGAACATAAGTAATGAATAACATGATTTCTCATAAATGTCCTGATTGGTGAGGTGAGAAACTCCACTTACATTTAGCCCTGTAAGCAGCGCAGAGACTGGATCAGCAGTTTGCTCCAGCTGAAATGACATTTAGGATGTTCAGACAGGTAATAACACGATTTTATCCAATCCATCGAATTGTGCTCTGCTTCCCCCGCTCACTTATTAAAAGGCCATTTAAAAAAATTTAAAAAAGGGTTTTCTTGAGTCAGGGGCTCTTTAAATCTGATTCACAAGTGTGGGAATGTTAACTCTTAAAATAAGATGACAGCCAAGTATGCATCATTGTGTTTGACACCCTACTCTCTCTCTTGTTTTGTATTTTCTCTACCACCAAGGCTAATTCACTAACTGATTCCTGCCTCTTTTAATCTCTTTTAAGTTTTTCATTCATATCAGTGAGTGAGTTTTCATGAATCCTCTTTGACTTCCTGCTATAATGAAGTTCCAATTGGTGACTAATGTGAGAATGCTGGCTTCCTTTCCCCTCCTGTTGGCAGCGTGTTTCCTGCGTTTCCTCCAGCTGTTGGAAGCCACTGACACTCTCAGACCTGGACTCTCACTCAGTATTCTGCTCAATGCTCGCAGCAATAAGCAGAGTCTGATGGTTTTCTTTTTTTGTACAGTCCATGTCTTCTAACTCAGTCAAGGGGGTGGGGGTCAGCGATGGGCATGGTGTGCAGAACTTCGTCCAGTAGCTGCAGAGCTCGGTGTAAATGGATCTCTATCCAGCAGGGTGTCTCTTTAATGCTCTGTCGTGGGTAGTCGGGCCCCCAGCCCTTCACGAAGCTCATGCGCAGAATGCACAGCCTGCGCAGGTCGTCCACCCCGATGCCAGCAGCAGCAGACAGACCTGGGGGGGGAACACAGGCGTAAACTTTCAGATCAATGTGGCACGACAAGCCAAAGCTCGTAGAAAATCATTAGCTAAGTTACTCCTGCGGTAAAAGTTTTACATACTACCCATAGTACTACTCCACTCTGATCAGGCCACATGTTTCACTGCATTTCAGCTAAAGCCTCAAGAATAAATCCATTGTGTAAATGTTAGCCTGCAATGATGTCATTTCCAGTCAGTAAAGTGGTTTAAAGTGCAATGGCCGATAAAGCAAAGCACACTGCTTAATAACATTGTTTTGGTACTTGTGGGTTATCTGTCACCACTTTTTAATTTGATGCCGTCGGGCGGCATGAGCGCGGCGATGGCCTCCAGGATGCCGTCGAATGGGTCGACTCCACATGGACTTGGCCAGGTAGGTCTTAAGATGGTTAGGGTTAAAAAAAAAAGTGCATATTTATTTAGAGAGTCTGAAAAAAACAAAGAATGTGGCGACAGATAACCCACAAGTACCTTCTTTTTATTTTAAACTGAGAACATGTGAAAAGAGGAGGAGAACATAGCGACAATTCTTCTACCGCTGTTCTATTTTAGTACTAAAGATGTGCTTGAATGTGAATAAATATATTTATCAGATAGACAGAGATGGCACAAGTACACACATCCTTTACTCAAGTAGAAGTACAGATACTCGTGTTTAAAAATACTCTGGTAAAACTAGAAAAACTGACTAAACTTCTTTACTCAAGTAAAAGTAAAGAAGTATGGCCTTCGAAATGTACTTCAGTAAAAAGTACCCATAGCTACCAGCTGTTTTAAAGAGTAATGGCACATTTCCACTGCAGGCCTCGCTCGGCCTCGCTCGGTTTGGTTAGGCCTTATTAGGCCCGGCTCACTTTAATGCTGCGTTTCCATTACAGTTTAGGAACTGGGGCAGTTACTATAGTAACGCAGTGTAGGCGGGGCCGTGACGTCATCTTCAATGAGAGCCCCAGAAAAACAACACAGCCGTTAGCTCTTAGCACTCAGAGCTCACAGCTCCTCATATCTGTTCAGAAACTAGACAAAAGTTAAACAAGTACAAACCACAGACTGCCTGTGTCATGGCGAATACAGTCGCTGGTTTATTTATGTATGTATAGGCCGTTGTTGTGAGTGTGGACGGTCGGAGCATATATAACGTTAGCTTAGCCAAGCTACATTTAGAAAACACGCATTTTTAAAGAGTTTTTCGCCTGCCGTCTGTCTGCAGACTTGTCAAAGCATTAATTCATGGTTTTTACTAACCGGTATCAGTATGTTGTTACTTCGGCATCATTTTGAAACGTGTATTACAATTAAATCACGGTCAAATATGTTCATCTTGTTATAGTTGTAGCCCCCTCGCCAGCGATTCTCTCTCTAGTTTAGCATACTCAGCCCGACTCAGCCTGGTTGTTCCTGGCCCTAGAACCACGATTTAGTCGGGCCAGAAAAAAGGTGAAAAAGTAGCTCCGGGCCAAAACTAGGCCAAGTGGAAACGCAACCAAAAACGGGCCCCGCACGGCTCGGCACGCTTAAAGCGAGCTACCCGCTGCAGTGGAAACGCGCCATAACTGACCTCACTTTATATTAATAGAACAATAATGTCATTGTTAGCTAATGAATGTTTCGATGCTAAACAACGGCAACATGACAACGTTTTCATTGGTCCTTCTTCGTTAGAGAAGACCAGGAAATGATGGATACACGGATCGTGTTCAAATCAAAAGGCACGCAATGACTCTAAATAATAATGATCACGCCACCAAACACACATTAAAACTAAACCTGTTTTGAAAATGTAAGAAGTAGAAAGTACAGGTATTTGTGTTAAAAATAAGTAGTGGAGTAAAGTACTAATACCAGAAAAATGTACTTAAGTACAGTAACGAAGTATTTGTACTCCACTACTTCCCACCTCTGAAGATAGAACTCAAAATGCCATGAACAAGTTTCAGAAAAAGTATCCCATCCACTCACTGATGGCGGGGGCGATGCCTCCCACAGAGCCCGGGCCGGGGATGTTCCCGGACACGGCGGCTGCCTGCGCTGCAGACGCTGCCGTAGCCGTGGCCGCCTGCTGCTGCATCTGCCTGTGGCACTGACGCAGGTCGAACACCTGGGGGGGGGGGGGGGAAACAACAGTACAATCTGATGAGAAGATATTGAATGGACTCATATTTTACTCTCATCTCAAATATGTTTATTAGATATTTTAAAAAGGTCACATTTTCTCACATTAGACCCTTAGTAGCACTGGATACATTGTGTGCATGTAAATGTAATAAAATAAAAAAATAAAATTCTTGCACACCCTTAAATATCTGGAACAAACTCCCAGAAACCTGCAGGTCCACTGCAACTCTTACTACTTTTAAATCCAGGCTGAAAACTTTTCTTTTTGCCGCTGCTTTTAATTGAACTATTCAAATCTTACACTGATATAACATGTATTTTTTCTTTTAATGTTTATTTTATTATCTTTACTTTTTAATGACTATTTTTAAATGCCACGCCATTTTCTTAATGTCTTTCATTTTTGTAAAGTACTAATTGCCTCGTGTTGAAAGGTGCTATATAAATAAACTTGCCTTGCCTTGTCACCACTGAATGGATTTTTTCAAAAAGGGTCGACTGTGATCACAAGGACTTTTTTTTAAATATAAACCCAAATGCACATTATGCCTATCCAATCATTTTACATTCATCCATGTACATACACAGAACATATACCAACAAGAGCTATCAGGAAATGTATACGTTTACATCAAATCAACTTGAAATGTCTTTGCTTTTCATTGACCATGGTCCTGCAGTCTCACCTTGATGTGGGCGCTGGGGTAGATCTTGTGAACTGCGTCTCCGGGGGCTCGTCCCGCCTCTCGGTCCAGGTAATAGCTCTGCACAAACACTGCGTGGTCGCTCAGACAGCGCACCCACACGTCTCCTTCACCTTTACACTCCAGCTGCATGCCTTTGCCAATGTGGAGCCTGAGGACAGAAGAGACATTAAAACAATATCAGCCATTAATCATTTATCAAACACATAGTAGACATTTATTGTTTGAAGTAACCATCTGATGATATTTCTCTTAGTTTGCTGGGGAGTACCGGGCTCTCTCTATGTTCTCCGTCCTGTGGACATTGCTCAGCTGACCCAGGCAGAAGCGGTCCCCTCCTGATGGATCAACGTACCCATCCACAGTCACTATCGGACATGTGGATTGCACCTTAAAGGTCTCTCCAACTTGGACATCCATCTCAAAGTACGCAATGGAGCACCAGTATTCTGGAGCTGGAACAAACAAACCTCAGGGTCAGATGGGTTACACTGATTATGTTAAATATGTGGATGTCTTCATCTGCAGCTACTCACAGGGGTGATTGGATATTGGGGGCTGGAACGCAATTTCATTGGTAACAGGCCCTGCAGGAATAACATGTCAACATTTATTGTGAACAAGCAATTCTGAAACCAGACCTGTTCTTATCATGCAGCACAGGTCATTTGATTAAAAAAAAGAAAAAAAAGAAAAAAAAGAAGACGCTTAAAAGTGTTTAACTATACCACATACTTCATTACAACATGTTTTTCTGATCAACTATTACATCTGCTAAATTCTCTTCATATAGAAATCAATGTATGATGTTCTATCACATTAAAGAAAGGACATGGACTATTTTTAAGGCTGAGTGTGAATTTTGCAGACTTCTTTTTTGTATCCATCCACTCACAGTAATGCCCTGTGTGAGACATGGGTGGATGATGCTGGAGATGCCCGTTCGGATGTGGAGGCCCTGCAGGGGTGAAGCTGCTGTTTCTGTTCCAATTGGGGGTGGAATCTGTAAATATCAATTATCATTAAATAGCTGCATCGCCAAACTCATGCCAACTTAAAGTCAGGATGTTGGATCAGATCATAAAGCTAAATAACCAAAACGTGCTTCATTACATATCAAACTAATCAACAGGCAAACCCTTGTAAAAAAGTCATTTCAAAAACGACCTACTTGCAAATGAAACAAAATGAATACTTTTACAGCAATGTGCATTTTCTAACATGTAGTGTCTCACTTGAGGGTCCTGCACTGAGTGTTGAGAAAGCAGGGATTGAAACTGAGCTGCCGCCCTCTGATGGGGGGAGCAGAGAGGGGCTGCTGAAGATCTCCTGTGGACATGCTCTTGACAGGGACTGGAGGTGGCATTCAGAGCTTGAGTGATGGTTGTCAAAGTCATACTCATCCTTTACCGTGAGTGAACCTAAATTAAGAAAAACATGCCTCGATAAGACTGATGGACATCTCAAAACATGGTCAGCAAGCCACACAGGAGAACATTGGTACCTCCTTACCTGAACTTGAAAGGGTCAGCCCTGATAAGTCTGCAAAAACATGAGAACAAATGTATCATTTCATCTAAGTCAATATTCTGAGTTCGAATAAGAACAAGGGCTGTAATCTTTTGAATGTGGAGAATCATGAGTGCATCTGATATGCTCAATAATGAAATTGTAGTGAAATAAGGAGGGTGATAAAAAAATATATATGTATAATTTTTTTTAAATGGTACATGTCAGATCAATGTTTTTTAAATTCCAAGTTTTGGTTATAATTTAACTGGATGAAAACTCCCATTGGTTTGAAGGGGATCACATTAAAAAGAAACCATGTGTCAACCCTCAGAATCCTTCAGTGTGTCTCATTCTATTTGTAATCAATATCCAAACTGCGGCCCCGTTATCCATTTTGAATTGGCTCTCATCTAATTTAAAATGTTTTCAAACACATTTTTGTTGATTTAATAAAGAAAAAAACCCAATAACTTATTTGCATAACAAGTTTGAAATGTACCCTTCATATTTCCCCTTATGATAAGCAATCTGAGGCTTCTGTTTTAATGAATGAGCTGACAACACATTTTGTAACACAGTAAATTACACCCTATGGAAAGCTGTGATGTAATCTGTTGTTGTTTAAGCATATTCAAGTATCAAGAATAATGTACCTACTTTGATTGATTTAGCTAACTTAGACCTTAGCTTATGACAACATACCTCACCTCTAGAGAGGGTCCAAGCCCTTCGTTTGTTTTTCTATATGTGGCCCCAAGTGAAAAAAGTGTGGACACCCCTGTCTATTTAGATATAACAAAGGTGTTAAAAAGCTTACTTACCAATGCCTGGAGATACGACCCTCTCGTAGTGGTATGGGTTGACACAGACATTGTCACATTTTAAGTCAAAGGCATACTGGCAATATTTTACATGTTTTAGCTCATTCTTGTGTAGATCAGGCCATCGCCAGAGTCGGGCATAGATAACATGGGGAAACCCTTTGCGCCCTGCAACCTAAAGCACAGAGAGAAAGAAAGTGACGTTTGTCTTTTGTAGTTTCAAATAGCATTTATTAGCTCAACTTGCTTCTGTTTATCGGCCACTTTACCTGTAAGCGTCCATCCAAGGTTCTCTGAATGGTGACACACTTGCTAGGATGAGCTCCATTGGTGGTGATTGCTGTGATGAGGGAATCCAGCTCATCTTTCTTTTCCTTCAGCTTCTTGACAAGACTCTCGATAGCTCGCTTAGCGAAGGTTTCACTCTCCCCACCTTGTCGGTGGCACATCAGGCTATGCACGATGCTCAGACAGGCATCATTACTTGTGGGAGTGTTTGTGATTGACATGTTGCTCCTTAGTGGCAACCTCAGGGAGATTTGTAAGCTGTGGGTTAGCAACCTAAAACAGAAAAAGCAGTGTCTGAGTTTAAATGGGTTTGCCAAATAAAATATACATTGCAGGACATCAAGTGCCACTCAAAGCACAAATGTGTATCACCTAGCCTTCCTTTCAGGTGTGGGAAAACAACAGATTATCATGTTCAACCCTCAATCTAATGTCCCTTTAAAATTACATAACACTTCAGTCTAATTTAAGCCATTGTTTGTGAAGAAAGGGATTAAAGGCAACTTTCCAAACCTTTAGGGGTCAATACAGAAGGTTGTCTGGATATCTTCCATTTACATTTGTAATTGTGTTAACTCCTGTCACTTGCTTTAAGCATACATTACAACGCATTTAGCTTGTGCTTTTATCCAAAGCAACTTACAATAAGTGCAATAAACCATAAAGATTCAAACTAAGGACCACAAGAACAGTGCTGACATATTTACTTCCAACAACATCATCAAGTGCTAATTGTGCCATTAAAAATGGACAGCTCACAGAAACTGCACATGGTCGCCCTCTGCAAATATGGCCATTACATTTAGGCTAACATTCACCACATATATTCTTTTGGCACCAGAAACTGCGCGTTTTTCTGCACGTAGAAAACCTCGTCGGTGTATCAAATTTAGATTAAAAGGTTATTTCAAAGCAACATAGCTAACATTAGCCCAGATGGTTATCAGCTAATAAACAGGGGAGTTTAACATTTCTTAAATAAGCCTCAGTAGTAGTGCAACGCAACCTCGCTTAAATTATAATGCTCAGTTATAATCTCGCCTATTTAAATCTATACACATATGTCATGAATATACAAGTGTTAGGGAGCATTAGTATAACTAACATTGCCTAGCTTCTGTTTGGTGTCTCTGCTAGCAATTACTGTGATTGCAGTAGTATACCATTAGCTACAGCAAGCTAACGCTGATTCAGAAAGCTTTCGTATCATTAACTTTATCAAAACGAACATATTCCTGGATTTACAGTCATAAACCCGCGATGCCGCGTTCGTCCCAGTGGTACAAGATGATAATAAGTGAGTGGTTTAAGCCTCCTAAATACCGATATGCTAACGATAACTAGCCTGCAATAATGATGTTTTGGCAAGCCTGCTGTTAGCTACCCTTCTCCTCTGACGGACGAACTCCACTACCTCATAGCATCTTTTACAACGGCATAAAACAAAAACACTTACCCGTTTATCTGTTGTTCTAAATACACTAAAAAGTGAACCTATAATATAATTACTAGTACTACACGTTTAACTGGCCACGAAAATAAACAGAAAAATGCTCTCCACCCACCACGCTCAGACTGCGCATGCACGTATGGACAGTGATAGGCGTGGCGCTGCTGTTTGTTTTTCTCTCGTATTTTTCATAAGAAAACCTCATTTAATAACCAAGAAAGAGGCCCATAGTCAGAAATAATGCCAGTTGGAATTTAACTCCAATTTGTAAGATTTATGAATCATCCATATATGGGACATTCTACCGAATTAGTACGATCCCACAACAAGAAAAACTATTTAACAAAACAATTAAGTATTCAGTATATTTACTAAGAATATGTTATGGTCTATTTAGACATAAGGCATTACATTATATAGTGATAAGCTTAATATATACAAAAACATAATGTATAGGGTACTTTCTATTGGGAAGTAGCTGTCCCCAACCCTGACATCTACATTTCTATAAATAACACTTAAAACATTTTTTTAAATGTAGTTTAATGGTGTATTTAGAAGATCTTTATGATTAAATTCAAACAGAAGTTGGAATATTTAGATTTATTATGGGTATAATTTTTTAATAAAAAAACTATATTCAAAAAATCATGTCCTCAGTTTTTATGTCACTACCGAAACACAAGGGGTTTTAGTCCAATGGCTGAGGCCCTTTCTCACTTCTCTTATTTTTCATTTCCTCGCTCCTCGGTCTCACCGGAAGTTGATTTGTCTGCGCCATCTTGAGTAGCGTCCCAAGGGCCTTATTTTTGCCGGAGGAGCGAGGAGCTATAATCGAGGAACCACCACACTCGCCCCGCCCCCTTACTGTGTATCGCTCACTGATTGGACGATGCAGTGCATGCACTGATCTTCTTGACATGAGAGCAGTTTCCCAGCGGAGTGAAGAAAATACATGAACCTCACGGGAGTCACTCCTCAGTTTATACCGTGTTTTGTTTCAATTAATGTTTCATTTAGTTACAAATATGTGATATATCTGAACAACAAAGTGGTCAAAAATCATTTTATTCATTTTTTGGAAACATTTTCATGATCGCTTTTTTCGTTTTACATTCTCAATAATTGTCATTTATTTCCATTCAGAAAAATGTTAATTTGTTAATGTTAATTTGCTACATATCCAATTAAAAACATACAAAGTGTGCAATCCTATGAATATTAATCTAACTGGGTGTTGATAGATAACATATCTCTTTTTCTTCACTCAATTATTTTATTTCTATTGTGCACTCTAATCAATATTAATCCAACTAATGTTCGTTTATACATTTTAAGAATGGCGTTTATCTTTTTTGAGAATGAGTTCTTATTTGATTTGATTTATTTGGGTCTACAACAGATGATACAAATGTGTGTGTCAGTAAAAGTGTAGGCGGGGGTGTTTGTGAAAATAACGGGGTCAGAGCTGCTAGGCTTGTTTGAGACGCGTTGCGGCTCGCCTCGAAAGTAGACGAGAATAGCCGATTGCAGCCGGGGGAGGTCTCAAAAAGCTTGCCTGAAGTCGGACAGCTCGGAGTCGGCTTCGTCTTCTTCTTCTTCTTCTCTTGGTTTTTTGGCGGATTGTAAACAGCTTGAAGGTGAATACTGCTGCCTCCGGAGTCGGCTTGACTCGGTTTGCATTTATAAAGAATGCACACATGTGTTTAATCGTTAATGTCAGATATGTACTAAGTAAATACATTTGTTCCTGCTCAAGATTAGATTCAACTTTATTGTTATTGCACATATTACAGGTACTGAGACAACGAAATGCAGTTTAGCTTCTAACCAGGTGCAACAAGCAGTAAAGTGAAAAGTAATGTACACAATCTACAGAATAAAATATAGAATGAATTGAATGATGAATAAACAGTGAGGGGTATGAATACACTAGATAGGCCTATACACAGCAGCCTGAGAGCAGTATGAACAGTGTGTATGAATATGCTAAGATAAAGTATGAAAACGGTAAGCAGTGCAGTGCAAGTATAGTATAAAATATATAGATATTAATTTCATGATGATAAACATTGGAACAATGTGGAACAATGATGAAAAATGTGAATGGAAGTGGCGACGTAAAACTGACACAAAACAACAACAAACTTTTGCCGAGCCAATTGGAGAGTTTCATCAGCAGCACGGGGGAAAAACCACCAATGAGCGCTCAGCTCGAGATACCGGCGAGTCGTTTCCCATCAAGCATTTAGCTTCCGCAGCCCGTGGAGAGGAACTGCGCCGCCTCGCTCTCAAGGCTGCTGGCGTCTTTGTCTAGCGAGATTTCAACGTCTCATGTAGACGAGCCTCCAGAGCAAGTCGGACAAAATGACTAACCATCATGCAACGCACTAGCAAGACGTTGATCGCAACTGCGCAGGTCTCGCTTGTCTCAAACAAGCCTACTGTTAAGAGTGGTGGGGGCGGGGAGGGAGCGGATCGACAGCTTGAGCAGCTGTCAACTCAACATTGTAAATAACTAACCAAAAACGATCGCCGGTTCATCTTGTTTTTGGTGTGAGAATAGTTTGGGCAGCGTGAGAGCGTGAGATTGAGAGTGAAAGCGTGTGTCACACGCCAGATGTGTGAGAGTTGGCCACCCTGCCTTAGATTTTCAGACTTTAAAACACATTTATTTCAAAATGGTGGGATTTACCTGCTTACCATTCCATTTTGTCACTACCCGAAACGATCATGTCAATTACCGAAACGTAACCGTATGTTTCGGTAGTGACGATTCTAGTTAAAGTTGACCATAACTAAAGAATGCTAGCAAGTACATGGCTAGCATACGTCTTTGAAGAGGTTAACACACATAAAAACCTAATACTTTGCATAAAACCCTGAAAAAGTTTACTTAATTGAAGATAATATGTGTTCGTTCGGTAGTGACAATTCTTAAGGTTACAGGCCGATTTTCAGATTTTGGAACAGACTTATATCAAAAGTATGGGATATAGCTACTTGCCATTCAGCCATGAGGGCAGGCCCGGTTCCAGAACAAAATGACTCAGGGTGCATCTGAGATTAGAGAGGGTGCGGTGGTAAAGTGCTATTTTTATAAGTGGGGAGTGGACCTAACACCCTCTAGGGGGGTCCTCATCTCCTCTAGGAGGGTCCGCACATCCTGGAGGGGGGTCCGGGGGCATGCTCCCCCGAGAAGATATGAGATCTATGGATCTATGTGCTCTTTGCTTGATTCATTCATTCACCAGTTGTGGTGAAGGCATCTGACTTACTTGAACCGAAATGTCTAAATGCATAGCAGAAGATGGCATCTTTTTTACATGAATATTCCAGCCACTCTCTGTTTTGAAACCATGAGCTGCAAAATGAGCGCCTTACCCCACTGTACAGGCGAGTTGGGTACTTTTTAAAATATACCTGGGCAGGCTCTGTTTTGCCGAGGTCCTCTGGCACTTGTGGGCCGCTGAGGGGTGGCGGTGTTTGGGGCAACGAAGACGACTGCGGCTGCTCCGCCTCCGTGGGCGAGGCGGGCAAAGCCGGCGAGTCGGGCGTTAGTGTCCACGACAGTGGCCGCGGGTAACGTAATGTCCCCATGATCTGAACTGTTATTACCTGCAGTAGATGCAGTGTTACTGCTGGCGATAAGGGCTGGTTGTTTAAGGGCTGGTTGTTTTAACCATTTTCTGATGTCCATCACTGACTGCTGTGTAAGCACCTTGCAGATGACGAACGCGCAGCGGCACAGGTCATGCACACCTGACATAATAACGTTACTTACCGTTTCAATTGACCAAATAAATGCAGCAGACAATGTTATTTAACCACAATTACAATTTATTTTATTTCAACTAACTTCTTCTTCTTCTTATTATTATTATTATATATGTAATATTTTTCACTTTTCATTTTTCAAATGAGGGTGCATAATGACCAGGGTTGGGTTGTAACGGAATACATGTAACGGCGTTACGTAATCAGAATACAAAAATCAAGTAGCCTAACTGTATTCAGCTCGCGTTACATTTGAAAAACGAGTAATCTGATTACAGTTACTTTTGTAAACCTGAAGTGAATACATTTTGGAATACTTATTGTAATTATTGATGGAAATATTTCCTCACAACATTTAATATTCATTATTAAAGGTACAGCCGAATCATCACAGCGCACAAACACTTTTACCGCCGCAGATGGACCAAAAAAGGGAGCGAAAAAAAGGGGCGGGGCCGCTCAGTGAAACAATAACAACGAAACATGGAGGAACAAAAGTCTGCGTTTAAGTCGTGTGTGTGGTTAAAACACATCAGCCTGCGGTCGCTCTTTAGCCTTACGATTCTGAAGGTAAACACAGCGAAGGCGGTGCGTGAAAGGCACTGCACGCTCGTCTTCTGAGTTAACCCTCCCGCTGCCTCCTGGTGCTGCAGAGATTTCATGAAGTGAAGGAGGTGTTCCTTCTATAAAACAGCTGTGGGCAGCAGATAGGCTACTGTGAGTGTCACGGACATGAATTCATAGATCAAGGCAGACTGGTGCACTGTGCACAGAGTCTCCTGTTTTGCCGATCCGGTGCTTAAACAAATATAGCTCTACACCCCTGGCCGACATGTCCTTAAAATGAAGTCCGAGTTCGACATTTGAATTAATGTCCTGCCAACACTGGCAGGACAGAATGTGACACGCCCGTTCTAAGCCGTGTCCCTCACTCCTCACATCCCAAGCTGCATCCCCAAAAAGTTTATTATGTTGTTGCATCGTTTCAGATGTTATGTTTCAGTTGTGCTCTTGATAAGCCATTAAAACAGTAAAAACACGTTCAGTTTCCTTTTGCTTTTTGTGTCTCCTGTTCACCAAAACATCCATCTGTGATGGAAAAAGAAAGTAATCCAAAAGTAATCTAAAAGTAATCTGATTACGTTACTTTTTTAAGACATGTAACTGTAACTGTATTCGGATTACTTTCAGAGCCATGTATTCAGTAATCAGTAACTGATTACATTTACAAAGTAACCCTCCCAACCCTGATAACGACTCAACTGAGGGTGCAATGCACCCTTATGCACCCCCGTAGAACCGGGCCTGCATGAGGGACAGGGATACAGTGTCACTGCCTTGTCAAAAATGCAGGGGTCTTGCT